ATGCAGCCATGTGTGCGTAATCACCAGGTTGTTTTTTATTTCCATGTTTTGCAACGTTGCTTTGAGGGGGAAGTGCAAATCGTCGTTTCTTAAGTGGGCGGCAAGGTCATACAGTCGTAACGTTTGCGTGTCGCAGCGAGAAGGCCCTGGGTTCGATTCCTGACTCGGACGCCTTTCTTGCGTGTGGCATTGGTATGTCCCCCCCCCCCCGCTCCCCCCCCCTGTCCGTGTTTTGCATGGGTTTCTTCCGCGTTGTCCTGGTTTCCTCCCATAGTTAAACATTAAACACACACACAATGTAACTGGTATTAGGCCAAACATACCAATTCTGCGATAAAAGATTCCTGCAAATTACTCAATTGGGATTACGCACAGGAGCAGCATCGCCCCCTACTCCTAAAAAAAGAGTCTTCAGATTCATTGAGGCTTTCTTTAGAAAACAAGCGTAATAATAATAATGATTAACTGCCATTTTGTGCCAAATTAATAGCGGTAAGTTACGTAGTTCCGGAGCATTTGAGACGAATGTAAAACATTTTGTCTTATGTCAACACCCTTGACAATAGTATCTTCATCGGGGAATAAGTAAGATAAGAACAAATGTTCTTACGTTAATCTTATTATTGAACGTCCATATCGTCCGCTTGCACGTCCGCTTGCAGGGTGGGGTCATGCCGCTGCGGTTAGCGCACTGCACTGCGAACCTGGCGGTCCGAGTTAGATTCCCGGCGATGGTTGAGCGACATCGGAACAGGCCCTGGGCCACCGCTTCACCAACCCACGCTGACCAACGTGGTGGAGTATGGTCGATATATATAAAACATTAAACTAAAGTTGTTGTTTTTTTTACCAAGGAGGTGCCCCAATGGGCTATGTGGCTCTTTTTTCAGAAGCGACCTGGCCACAAATGATAGCTCAACGAAGTGGCTTATCGTGCGGAAATTTTTAGCTGCCAAAAACTCTAAATGCATGACTTGACACAGTGTGGTGATGCAATCATTCAGTCCTGAATGAACATTAATTCAATTATTGCACAATGCACTAGGTTATTGGCAAAAATGGTGTGGAAAATTGCACGGTAATCAATGTTTGAAAACATTTACAGGACACAATATTCAGACAAAATCAACCGTGAACCCACAGTCCGTGACAACTTTTAACATTCCGCGGGGGTGAAAATCCCTAAATTCGTGAGTCGTGTGGCTAAGAACTCACGGTGTGTCACGGACTTAAGGACCCATGAACAGCATTCCCAACATTAACGCTACATTTTTTATGTTTATCGTAATTCACAACTTTACAAGTGGCATAATTTTGGTATTTTTTTGTTTCTCTGTTACGTAGGCATGTATGTTGAACTCCTTTCGCACTGTACATAGCCAACCATGCTAATCGAAGGTGTCTTTATTTAATCCCAGAGTTCCATTCACCTATTAGCAGATGACATCTGGGCGACGATCGCTGACAATCATTGTAAATGGATTGTGTCTTTTTTAGACGTTTTGGCTATAAGGCCATCCTTCAATGACTTACCGTAGCAGACGATGTGACAGGTATTTACTGCCCATTTTAGAGAAGAAGTTGGTCATAAAAGTGCTTTCCTTTTACAAGTTTCTGGGTCTTCTTTGAAAACGCAGTCATTTGTCTTAAAATGGCCTGGCGGCTCAGAGGTCAAAGCCTCAGGCCAGCAGCGCTTAGATCATGGGTTTCAATCCAGACAGCCGCCAGTGATTGAACCGGTTTCTCAAGTGTAATAAGTTGATGGGCTCAGCCCGGTCACCAATGACTTAACACGCAACAAAAACCCCTCATTGTATTAAATTTGGTTCTGCACTGAATTTTGCTCCAGTCTAGTTCCGAGTATTACAAAAAACATTCGTTTGAAAGCCACGTGACGCACATTCGTCTGGAGCAGGGCGGGTGGGGAAATGCTGTCCACTACTTCATAGAAGAGAGTTTTCTCAGAAGCAGCTCTGTGGTATCCACTTCAGTGAGCAGTTCTCGAACACAAAGAAGAAACCCAAAGATGGGGTTTTCCGTCTTGTGATGGGGGGCTCTGATTGAACAATTGTTTTAAAGTTGGTTAAAAAGACAAAATGCCGTGCAGCAATATAATTCGCCCTGTTGTAAATATGTGAGCTGTTGCATTATTTTCCTCACGTGACTCACTGCCCCTTTAGCCGGGGGCTGGTGGCGCACGTGGCCTGTAACCCCGCACTGTGAAGGGAGCAGCGAGGATTGGTGGATCACACATTCCTGAAACTCCCAATCCCCTCTGTCCCGCGAGGTCACCATCTCCTGGCGGGCCAGGGTATGACGGCAGTACAGCAAGTGGACTCATTTTCATCTGTATTCCATCTGTATGGGGTTGTGCCTACCCCTACGGTTCCCCTCAATCCACGTGTTGGTTTTCTCTGTGTACAGTACTCCAGTTTTCTCCCATGTGTATAAACACTCGTTGATGGAGTTGGACAAACATCCCAATATTGGGCCACAACTATAAACTAAACCATTTTTTATTTTACCAAGTAAATCCAACTGAGCTATATAGTTCTCTTTCAGGAGTGACCTGGCCACAAATAATAGCTCAACGAAGTGGCTTATCATGTGGAGATTTATAGCATCCAAAGACTCTAAACGCATGTTTAAAAATTCGGAGGGATAAACCGGAGAACCCGGAGAAATTTCCACACGACCATGGGGAGAACATGCAAACTCCAAATGAACAGGCGTATACGAGGCGAGGTAGTTGACATTTTCTAATTGTTGGTAGCGCCACTTCTGTCTGCGGTTTCTCACGCCAATGAATCTCCCTCTCAGTGAACGAAAACTGCTCGCATTTATTATTTGAGCCACCCACCCAAGCTGAAGGCTCGCGAACAACCAGGCTCTCCCAAAAGTTGTCGCCTCGCCCCCCCTCCCCCCCGAGTCTCAGCATGAGCCCCTTATCGCACGCTTCCTGAGCCGCACAGACCCAGGGTTTGATGAACTCGGGGGCTTCCCAGCGGTGCTCGCCGAGTTCCCCCGCACGGCCATCGGGCGCCGTGAGACCAAAACGCGAGTGCAGGCTGCCTGCAGATGCTCACGAGAAAAGCATGCACGGGTGAGGTCATGGCGCCTGTGAAGTGCAGCTGGGGAGTGGCGTTTATATGGGTGGTGGTTGGGAGGTATGGGGGGGCGGTTGGAGGGGGGGGGTTGCGAAGAGGAGATGACTCAATTTGTTTGGGGTTACACCTTGTGCAGGAACACACACACAACACACACACACAACACACTCACACACCACACACACACACAGCACACACAACACAACACACACTCACACACACAACACACACCCACAACACACACCCACACACACAACACACACTCACACACCACACACACACAACACACACACAACACACACCCACAACACACCCACACACCCACACACACAACACACACCCACACACACCCACACACACCCACACACACAACACACACCCACATACCCAACACACCCCACACACACCCACACACACACAACACACACCCACAACACACACCCACACACACAACACACACTCACACACACAACACACACCCACACACACAACACACACACACAACACACACTCACACACACAACACACACTCACACAGACGACACACACTCGCACAACACACACACAAACACCCACAACACACACCCCACACACACCCACACATAACACACGTATGCAAGCACCACACGTGCAAATGCACACTCTAAACGAGCGCGCGCTTTTGCACGCATGGTGCAGTATATACGGCGCGGTCCGTGTTCAGACACCACAACTGATTTCTAATGATCCTCTTAACTTTCTTGTCAGCAAATCGGACCACCTGTAATTGGACGAAGCGCCTAGAATATTACGTTGGACTAGCATCCATCTCTCCTTGCCAATAACATCTGGCAGTTCACCAGCATTGGTTCAAGCAAGCCTGCGCACTGATGAGACATTGTCGAAACCACTCCAGAATGTTCTTGTATTGAACAAAAGCCGCTGAAATTGTGCACTCCCAGAATTCCTTGTAATTGATGGGAACCGTCGAAAAATACTTTGGCTTTTTTTATGTGGAGAAACACGTATGAAGGAGATATATTGCCTACTTATTTATGATGTTTGACTAAGTATATCAGGAGAGTGTTACGTGGAGTGAGACCGGTGTTGATTTCTCTTACTTCTTCAAATTACTTTAGTGCAGTATCTCTAAGTGAATCAACACTCCACATGCAGAACAGCGTGTAAACACGCAATGCCCGTACACACACACACCTTCACAGAGGCTCCTCCGTGTGTGTGCGTGTGTGACCGTGGAATGTGTCTGTTTTTCTTGCTTGCACACGTGCGCATGAGCTAATATATGTGTGTGTAAGCAATTACATACATTTACAAGTGGACATAAATGCGTATGTACGTACGTGCTTGCATGTGTACAAGTGTGTGTGTGTGTCTGCACATAAGGAAGTCGCCCTCCAGCAACAGAGGAGCGATGCTCACAACATCGGGCAGAACGCCGTGTGGCTAAAATGCAGAAAGTTGGCACAGTGGGGAGCACCGTCTGGTGCATCTCTGCCAGTCATCTAGAAAGCACATCAAGCGATATCTGAACCGGTCCCGTGCCTCTCTGTCCTCTCCGAGATTGAATCGGCCTCAAACAAGTGACTGGTGAAGGCGTACAAACATCAGCGCTGGGGAGAGAAAGGTGGCCGGGAATGGTGTTGGCCACGCCACCCTTTCATGCGTCGTGCCAGTTACAATGAGTGCTCGCTGACAACGCTTGCCCCCAACAGTCTACGCATTACAGTAGATACGGGTAGGGAGGAGAGGATCATTGTCTCTCTGTATGCACGTGTCTGCTGCACGAGTTTGTGTGTGCAGGGGGCTTTGCACACGTGTGCGTGTTTGCCTGCTGCACATGCATGTGTGCAGGAGGCTTTGCACATGTTCACAATCACATGTGTGCGCGTGCAGGGGGCTTTGCTGCGTTCTCCGCGTGTTTCCCGGGGCTGGTGGAGGTGGCTCGGCCGCCCGCCCCCCTCCCGTCCAGCATCTCCCAGCCGTGCCTCTCCTCCTCCTCCTCCTGCAGCCTGGGCCCCACCTGCATCCTGCCGCACCTCTACCTGGGCTCGCAGAGGGACGTGCTCGACCGGGTGAGAGCGACGCGCACACAAAGACAAAGGCTCCCCTACCCCCCCCCCCCTCCCATATAGCCTTTATCAGGCTTTCAGGGCAAGTGCTGTTGGCGAGCACCTATGAAGGCCGGAACGGTACACGAGGGGGTGGGTGGCCAGCACCACACCCGACCGCCTTTGTTTTCCCAGTGGCGATGTTTACATACTGCACCAGGTACTCATTTGAGGCTGAGTCGATCTAAGGGAGGCCCAGGACCGGTTCAGATGATCGTCACCGGTTTTGGCCGTGAGCGGGAATCGAACTCGGTTCGCCGGGTTCATAGCGCAGCACGCTAACCGCTACACTACCGCTCCCCGCACAATCACTCGCACACAATCACACATTCACACTTACATACACCCGCACCTCTGATTAACACGGCTGACTACGTATGGTGGGCAAGAAGTTCAACATACATACAGTTCAATATACACGCAATTTCATGCACATACACACACACATTCACACTTCTATATACACACACGCATGCCACAAATGCACAAACGCAACAATCACACTTGAACACGTTCACTTGTGCACATTAAAAGACAAAGCTCCCTCATATATTATTTAAGCGACCGTTCGGGCAAGTGCTGTTAGCAAACGCCTATTAATGCCGACTTGGCACATGATGAGTGGTGTGGCCAGCTGGGCCGCTGTTGTCTCCCCATTGCTGGATTGTTTACATGCAGCACCAGGTACTGATTTTCAAGCCGAGTTGAACCTGGGGAGGCCCAGAATCTATTCAGATATCGCTCACGGTTAACGTCATTAGCCGTGGCCGTGAATGGAGCTCACGCCCCGGAGTTGCACTAACCACCACGCCACCGCTCCTCGTGCACAGTCAACAACAACATCAACAACCCTGATTCGCCACCAAGTGGCGGTGACGTCACCACGGCGCTTGTGCCAGGCTATGTGCACTTTAAGGCCACGTGAAGTCTCAACGCCCGCTGGCAGGAGGTCACGGGACAGACCCCGGTGCCATGGGTTGGCCGAATGAGATGTCCGGCCGATGCATCACCTGTGCACATTTACAAAAGACAAAGATCCCCCCCGTGTAGCCTGAACAGACTGTCGGGGCAAGTGCTGTTAGCGAACACCTATGAAGGCCGGCACGGCACACGAGGGGGTGGGTGGTCAACACCACGCCCGGCCGCCTTTGTCTCTCCAGTGACGATGTTTATACACCGCACCAGGTCCTCATTTGGGGCTGAGTGGACCTAGCGGAGGCCCAGAACCGGTTCAGATAACCGTCACCGGTGTTGGCCCTGAGCGGTAATCGAACCCGGGTTGCCGAGTTCGTAGCGCAGCGCGCTGATCGCTACACCGCCGCTCCCCACATTGACACACACAATGACATGTGCGCGCTCGCACAACGCACAGGCAATCACAGCGAATGACACAGGTGTGTGGTGAAGTCATCAACTCACACAGTGCCTCTGTGTCCGCGCTAATGATATTGAGCTCTGTAGCAGAGCAGGTGCTCATTTTATGTCAAGTCGACCTATGGCAGGCTCGGAGCAGATCCACTTTAGCACTTGGCACTGCTTGCGAGTGAAGTGACCGAGGATTATAACCCTTGAGACTCACGGTTTTGAGTTGTCTCACGTCCGCGAAATGGATTCTCACGTTTCTCGTCGTTGTTGTTGTGGTTGTTTCCCTGATGTAAATACCTCAACTCAGCCCTAATTACTGCGGTCCACGGGCAGCTGTTGCCGATGATTCAGGGTCATATTTAAGGGTCAGTTCCGACAGTTGTGTCGTTCCTCGCAACCTTTTCTATGAGAAAGCAACAGGCAACGAGTAAAAAAAAAAAGTTATCCAAGGTTATTCTTATTAAATCGTTGGCAGTGGGGGTGTTCACATAGTGGTGTACGTTAACCCATTGCTGCTACACAAACTCCTTCATTAACCCCCCCCCCGCCCCACTTCTTTTGTTCAAAGTAGACTCACCCTTGCCTCCTGCGTGATACGCGATTCTGTGCCTCAGTTGCTTGAATGTCAGGCTCTCGTTTCTTCGGAATCTTGGGTTTCTGTTTCCATTTCTCGAGTTTTAGTCTCAGTCTCTTTTGGGGTCCCCCCACCCCGAGGTCTTTCAGGAGGGGGTCTCACGGCTTCCAGAGCCCCTTTTGGGAGTTTGACGTGCACGGCGCTGTTGCGAGTGGTCAGCGATCGAACCAAGGTTGCCGGCGCTTGGCCGCGTTGCGCCCGTTTGCTGTCGTGCCATGCACTCTCTCAAGCAAGCGCGCGTGCACATGTTATATATATGTATGTTTTTAAAAAACATGAACACGGGTACATGCGCAGACTTGCAACCACACAAACGTGTTCGCTTGCGCACGCTACGAGGTGGGAAACTTTTGTTGTCCACGTGGTATAAGTGGAGCTGCTGTGGCGTCGAGCAATTATTTTTGGGTGGCAGGGTGGTGCAGTGGCAACACATCAAGAAGGGCCTGGGTTTAATCACCATCTCTGGCAGCGATCTGCACGGAGTTTGTACGTTCTCCCGCTGCTCTGCTTGGGTTCCCGAGTTCTCCGGTTTCCTCCCAAAGAAAATCAAAACCATACAATGTACATGTTGTTAGCCGTACATCCCAATGCTGAAAAGTGACCTGCAAATCACTCAATTGGGATTAAACACTGCAGCAGCAGTATCGCTCCCGACTGAAAACTTGGCAGGACCCTTCTGAAAAAGAGTGTTGAGACTCAGTGAGGCTTCCCTTGTTAAATAAGTGTAATGATGAATCGATCAATTGTCTAATAAACTGTGTAGGCTGGTTATTATGGAGCTTTGAGATAAGTTCATGCCTTGGAGTAAGATGGATTGTGGCATGGTGGGATCGTAAAGGGATGACGTGGGCATGGTTAGGCCTTCATCCAGCAGTGGATAGACAATGGGTGATGATGATGGCGTGAGTCTGGTATGCATTTATACCAAGTACACTGAACAGCGTAAATCTCAAATCGTCAACAAATTCATAAATGCATTAAAAAAAACACATGCACGTAAGTGCACTAAGATCCTCCGTATAGCCTTAACAGACTGTTGGGGCAAGCGCTTTTTAGCGAACACCTATGAAGGCCGGCACGGCATACGAGGGGGTGGGCGGCCAGCACCACGCCTGGTTATTATTTTAAGTGCACGTACACACGCGCACCAACACGTGTACCAACACGCGGATGTGCTCACACTTGCAGGCAAACACATAGTGTACATTTATGCATAGTTACGCGCACACACCGTGTAAACAATGACATAAAGCCAACTAAATACGCTCTTTCATAAATGCACCGACCGTTTTAGTAACAGCCAGACGTAGGAGTGGTGTAATAATGATTAGCACGGGTACAATTACATTCCCTTTTGTCAGTCCACTGCTGTAAAAGGGTCTCCCTATGCCGAGTGGGTTGTGGGGGGGTTATAATGCTGTACTTCACCGCGCCGGTCACTGCGGATTGCTGAAGGCGGGGGAGCATAGACGCGGGAGCGTGAAAGCACAGTACAGCACAACGGTGGATTGTTTCGCAGCACTGCCCTGTGCTGCCCACCACTTAACCCCACAGCAGCCGATAACACCCTGTCACACACGGCGGTCGCCCATCCAAGCACTATTCCTGCTCATCCCTGCTCAGCGTCCGAGATCTGACCAGATGGGTCACAATTCAGGTGTATTATTTCATCACGGGCGAAGGCGATAATGATGATGGTGAGGAAGATGATCTCACTGCCAGTGACCTCCCAGGTGTCATTCCTAGCTGCGGGCAAAAGCCGCTGCTATGTGGTTAATAATAAAAGCAGTACTTTCCTGCTCGAGTGAGTTCTGCGGCGTCGCTCATCACCTACGTCGAGTGGTCTGAGCCAGCGCTGGATATTTCGTATCCTCGTGGCAAGGGCCAAGTCTCTACGTCGGATCAGTGGTGGCACTAAGCCCAAGCAAACCAAGCAAAAGTTTTGGGCTCCAAGCGGAGCAAGGGGGCTTCCAGATTCACTGAAAAAAATAGGGGTGCATGAAATATCAGCTGATAAGTAAAATTTTCATGAACAAAATAAGCCGATTAACGCAAACGAGCCAATTCATCTTGGTCATCTCTGTCTCGTCTGCATCTCTCATCACATATCACTACATCTCAATCTTTTGCTTTTGCCTACATTTCTCTTGTCTCGAAAAGGAGCCTACCCCCCCAAAAATTGTAAGCTTAAGGTTCCCCAATTGCCTAGAACTACCACTGAATGTAACCAACACTATAGCTTTCTTACAAAGCGGTACTCGATTTATCGACCCCCTCCCCTAAGGAATGATGGGCCATTGACGACCACAGACTGTGATTGTCGCTCGTGGCGGTCCAGTTGCCGATTTAGGCGCTTTACTGACAAGGCCATCCGGCCAGATTTCACTTGACCTCAAATAAGCATCTTCCACAAATGTATGTTGACATTTGTTAACATGCATGTCAACATGCATCACTGCAGGGCCGTGGTGGACGAATGGCTAAGAATGCTCATCTAATTTCCATGTTGGAACACTGAGCCCAACGCTGGTAAGAAACTGGGTTCCATTGCGGGTTCACGTGGCGATGGCACACAATGGCCAATTATCTTTCTTCTTCTTCTGCTGCTTCCTTCTTATTCATATTCTTTGGGTCTTTCAGTCAAGCCACGTAGATAGTAAAATAAGAATATCATGACGTTTCGATTGTAACACGAGCAATCGTCATCAGGTGAAAAAATATAGCGGGAGAGCTGCTGAGGCAGGAAAACATATTCTTATTCTTCCTGATTCTTCCTTCATCTTCCTTCTCTTTGTCCTTCTTCTTTGTCCTTCGTCCTTCTTCTTCCTTCTTCATACTTCTTCTTCCTGCTTTTTCCTTCATCTTCCTTCTTCTTTGTCCTTCTTCGTCCTTCTTCATTGTCCTTCTTTGTCCTTCTTCGTCCTTCTTCCTTCTTATTTATCCTTCTTCGTCCTTCTTCCTTCTTCTTTGTCCTTCTTCGTCCTTCTTCCTTCTTGTCCTTCGTCCTTCTTTGTCCTTCGTCCTTCTTCTTTGTCCTTCGTCCTTCTTCTTCCTGCTTCTTCCTTCATTTTCGTTCTTCATATTCGTCCTTCTTCTTTGTCCTTCGTCCTTCTTCCAGCTGCTTCTTCCTTCTTCATACTTCTTCTTCTTCGTCCTTCTTCCTGCTTCTCCCTTCTTCCTTCTTGTTCTTCTCCCTTGTGGTGGTGGTGGGGGGGGGGGGGTGGATCAGCCATGTTCACGAGTTCACGTCGAGGTCGGTGGTTGATCCAGTGGACGGTTACAGATGTAGCCTCATGGTGGTGAACATCTGAAACGCTGCCTGCGAATTGATCGAACCCTGGCACTGGTGTTACCGTGCGGTCCGTGGTTTGGAGACTGACTGGTGACTACAGTCGCGCTGTGGGATATTGACACCTGCGATAAGCCCACAGACTCGCACCGTGGAGAAATTCTGACATCGGTTGCCGTTGGCTGCACAATCGAACCTTAATTTAACGTTGCCCAGCTCCGAAGGTTCATTCAATCGATAGCCACTAAGTAGATGACTTTATTACACATTTCAAGAGAGTGCGGTTTTATTGCACGTGTAAAATGCACCATTAAAGGACATCGGACGAAGGCTTGCGAGTCAATTTCTTGTTCGTTTCAACATTGGCAAGCGCGACTGCTGTTTGTCGACAGAATTTAAATATCCATAAATGCCGATGGAGCATATTGCACAGTGGGATTGATGACAATAAGTAATATTTAAAAGAAAAACACTTTTTTTAAAACACGCTTTCATGAAATGTACCGTACGCGTAATGGCAGGACTCCAGAAAGTGGCCCCGAAGCTTGCCATAACGTAAGGGACCGTGGTGATTCCAGTTGAGCGTGGACAATTAGACCCAAGCCGAAACATAACATATAAATAAATGAATGTTTAATAATATATACTTTTTATTTTTATGATAGAATATAGTGTTGTCGTCAGTATGACATAAGTATACCAAGTTTGCAGTCGATACCACATTGGGAAGTGGGTACAAATTGAGTTACAAGATTTGGGGATACAACAACAGACAGAGTGAGTTAATAAAAAGCGTTGTAATAACAAAGAAAGATACTGCAATGCCGCAGGGGAAGTACGCGGGGTCGCTTGGGACGTTTCTCCTGCTCAATACTGACCCTGCTCGCCTTATCACAAGGCGAGGCCGCGGCCTGGAATCGTTTCACCTGCGTAACCTGTACACTTGCCTGTAAAATATATAAATATATACAAGTTCTTGGTTCTTTCGGTAAAGTCACGTAGAAGGGAAACAATAAAATAATAAAAATATAAAACAATACAATTCTCACGACGTTTCGACTGCAACACGAGCAATCATCATCAGATGTGAAAACCACAAAAATTTTCTTGCTGTGGGTTTCAACGTCGTGAGAATTTTATTGTTTTATATTTTTATTATTTTATTGTTTCCCTTCTACGTGACTTTACCGAAAGAACCAAGAATATTAATCCCTGCAGTCACGAAAGCTTTAAGTCAAAATATATACATGGTTTAGTTGCAGGATGGTCCTAGACCAGGGGTCGGCAACATGCAGGTCCGGAGCCGTGTGCGGCTCTTCAAGGACCGCTGCTTCGTGACGTTGCTTATTAAGCACCAGCTTCTCGGAATTATTCACGTGCATTGCAACTCTTGAAATATTGAGGTTTTTTTAATACCGAATTTGAAAAAAAGTCTCTCATTATTATTCTGGTTGCAGACCCATGTCCTAGACTCATGACTTACTCTGCGGATGTCTCCAAGCTGCATGGGTGCCGCGGTGGGGAGATGTTAACTCCCTCGCCTTGTATGCAGGAGGTCGTGAGTTCGATCCCGACCCTGTATATTTTGAGTTTGTATGTTCACTCTCCTCGTGGTAGCGTGGATTTTTCTCCGGGTCCTCTGATTTTTTTTCCCTCCATATTTAGAAACATTCATTTAGAGTATTTGGCTGCGATACATTTTCACGTGATAAGCTTCTTTGTTGAGCTATCGCTTGTGGCCAGATAGCTTCTGCAAAGAGCTGTATAGCTAAATGGGCCTTCCCTGGTAAAATAAATACGTTGTCTGATCCACACGTGTCCCTCCTCCTCCTCCTGTGCTTGTGCAGGGGCTGATGCTGCAGACGGGCATCGCGTACGTGCTCAACGCCAGCACGTCGTGCCCGCGCCCCGACTGGCTGCCCGAGAGCCGCTTCATGCGCGTCCCCGTCAACGACGGCTACGGAGACAAGATCCTGCCCTGGCTCGAGCCGTCCGTCTCCTTCATCGGTGCGCGCGTCCACACTCGTGCATGCACCCACGCGCGTCCACTGAACTCGCGCACGCACGTCCGTGGACTCTTACGCACGTATGCACCTCTCCTTCATCGGTGCGCGCGTCAACGCGTTTGCGTGCACAAAGACGACAAAAGATTCCCCCTCCGTAAGGTCTTAGCACAGACTGTTGGGGCAAGCGTTGTTAGCGAGCAGCACCTACAGTGAGGGAGAAAAAGTATTTCATCCCCTGCTGATATTGTACGTTTGCCCACTGACAAAGAAATGGTCAGTCTATAATTTTAATGGTAGGTATATTTGAACAGTGAGAGACAGAATAACAATAAAAAAATCCAGAAAAACGCATGTCAAAAATGTTATAAATTGATTTGCATTTTAATGAGGGAAATAAGTATTTGACCCCTCTGCAAAACATGACTTAGTACTTGGTGACAAAACCCTTGTTGGCTATCACAGAGGTCAGACGTTTCTTGTAGTTGGCCACCAGGTTTGCACACATCTCAGGAGGGATTTTGTCCCACTCCTCTTTGTAGATCTTCTCCAAGTCATTAAGGTTTCGAGGCTGACGTTTGGCAACTCGAACCTTCAGCTCTCTCCACATCTTTTCTATGGGATTTAGGTCTGGAGACTGGCTAGGCCACTCCAGGACCTTAATGTGCTTCTTCTTGAGCCACTCCTTTGTTGCCTTGGCCGTGTGTTTTTGGTCATTGTCATGCTGGAATACCCATCCACGACCCATTTTCATTGCCCTGGTTGAGGGAAGGAGGTTCTCACCCAAGATTTGACGGTACATGGCCCCGTCCATCGTCCCTTTGATGTGGTGAAGTTGTCCTGTCCCCTGAGCAGAAAAACACCCGAAAGCATAATGTTTCCACTTCCATGTTAGACAGTGGGGATGGTGTTCTTGGGGTCATAGGCAGCATTCCTCCTCCTCCAAACATGGCGAGTTGAGTTGATGCCAAAGAGCTCCATTTTGGTCTCATCTGACCACAACACTTTCACCCAGTTGTCCTCTTGAATCATTCAGATGTTCATTGGCAAACTTCAGATGGGCATGTATATGTGCTTCCTTGAGCAGGGGGATCTTGCGGGCGCTGCAGGATTTCAGTCCTTCACGGCGTAGTGCGTTACCAATTATTTTCTTGGTGACTATGATCCCAGCTACCTTGAGATCGTTGACAAGATCCTCCCGTGTAGTTCTGGGCTGATGCCTCACCGTTCTCATGATCATTGCAACTCCACGAGGTGAGATCTTGCATGGAGCCCCAGGCCGAGGGAGATTGACAGTTCTTTTGTGTTTCTTCCATGTGCGAATAATCGTACCAACTGTTGTCATCTTCTCACCAAGCTGTTTGGCAATGGTATTGTAGCCTATTCCAGCCTTGTGTAGGTCTACAATCTTGTCCCTGACATCCTTGGAGAGCTCTTTGGTCTTGGCCATGGTGGAGAGTTTGGAATCTGATTGATTGATTGCTTCTGTGGACAGGTGTCTTTTATACAGGTAACAATCTGAGATTAGGAGCACTCCCTTTAAGAGTGTGCTCCTAATCTCAGCTCGTTACCTGTATAAAAGACACCTGGGAGCCAGAAATCTTTCTGATTGAGAGGTGGTCAAATACTTATTTCCCTTACTAAAATGCAAATCAATTCATAATATTTTTGACATGCGTTTTTCTGGATTTTTTTGTTATTCTGTCTCTCACTGTTCAAATAAACCTACCATTAAAATTATAGACTGATCATTTCTTTGTCAGTGGGCACACGTACAAAATCAGCAGGGGATCAAATACTTTTTTCCCTCACTGTATGAAGGCCGGCACGGCACACGAGGGGGTGGGTGGCCAGCACCACGTCCGGCCTCCTTTGTCTCTTTGGTGGCGATGTTTACACACCGCACCAGGTACTCATTTGAGGCCGAGTCAACCTAGCAGAGGCCCAGGACCGATGCAGATAATCGTCACTGGTGTTGGCCGTGAATGGGAATTGAACTCGGGTTTGCCGGGTTCGTAGTGCAGTGTGCTAACCACGACACTACCGCTCCCCATTGCACACACACGCACACGCGCATATACACGGACGTGTGTGTGCAAACTGAACTCGCGAACGCACGCACGCCCCTTGGACTCTTACACATGCACGCACATCGTCGTCGGCGCGCACTGTTAACGCTCGTGCACGGACACACGGACTTACACTGATGCACACGCACAGATACAGTACGCGAGCATGCGTGCGCACATACAACTTTTCCGTGTCGCTTGTTATGTAGACTTGAGGAGGCCTAGAGACAGATTCGCAGAGGGGAGACTAAGCTGGAATTGGGAAGTCAGAGATAAATTCAATGGCTCAGCATTATCATCGCACAACGTTGCAACACCTGGACAAGGAGATGACTACATGGTTCCACATGCACCTCATGTTGTTGTCGTATTTTATGGCTCACCGACCCAGCTCAAATTGACCGGTGGTGAATGTAAATTTGATGTGTCGTTGTTAAGTGTGGGTTTATGCACAATGTTTTATCGGCATTGGTTGATGTTCGATGGCCGACGGGCGTGTTCGTTGGTGCGGCAAGTTGTCGGTGAGAGTCGTTGATGCAAGAACGCTGAAGGTGACCGCTGTTGCGATGTAACCCCCATACGATGCGGCTTTCCAAAGACCTCGCCGCTTACCGTGGGTGAGGTTGGCGACGGTTACCAAGTGCTGATTTGGCCGCGCCTGCGTCGTTCTGCAGATCACGTGCGGGTGTCACAGTCGCGCGTCCTCGTCCACTGTCTCGCTGGGATCTCGCGATCGGCCACCGTGGCCATCGCGTACGTCATGCGGACCACGGGGCTATCGTCCGACGATGCTTACCGGTGGGTGTGCGCACACAATGATCACTCCGCGTAGCCTTCACAGACTGTTGGGGGCGAGTGTTGTTAGTGAGCAGCACTTATGAAGGCCGGCATGGCACAAAACGAGGGGGCGGGGTGACCAGCACAACGCCCGTCCGGCTTTGTCTCCCCAGTGGCGATGTTTACACACCGCACCAGGTACTCGACCTAGGGGAGGCCCGGGACCAGTTCAGATAAACGTGACTGGCGTTGGTCGTGAGCGGGAATCGAACCCGAGTCGCCGGGTTCGTGTAGCCCAGAGCGCTAACCGCTGCACTACCGCTCCCTGCGGTGTGTGCACACTTACCCACACTCTTGGTTTGTGGGCCGTTATGCTCATGTTTGTACAGCACACTGGGTACTCATTGTAAGACTGAGGCGAGCTATACGGGAGGCCCAGAACCGGTTCAGATATTTTCCACTTGTGTGGAGAAAATGTATTCGCCCAGGTAAACAGTGGAGTGACCTTTTGGACGATCACGTGAGAGGGTTAATAGATTCATAATAATCAGTGTGCGTTATAATGAGTGGCCAGAAGCAGGAACTAAGAATCGTTGTCATCTCGTTCCACCCCCCCCCCCCCCCACCCTTGACAGCTTCGTGAAGGAGAAGCGACCCTCCATCTCGCCAAACTTCAACTTCCTGGGGCAGCTGCTGGAGTACGAAAGGGGCCTCCGTGGCTCGAAATGGAGCAGCATCTCCATTCCCCAAAACTGCCTCGGCCCTCCGACGCCTCTGCCCGCCAATAGCCACGAGCGAGTTCCAAACGACACGCCGGATGATGTGCGCGCGACCGGGAGGCCCGCCGCCTCGTTGTGCAATGGCAGGGGACACTCCTCCTCCTGCTCGTCCTCCTCCTGCTCGTCCTCCTCTTCTTCGGAGGGCAGCGGCGGTGGCCGAGTGGGGCCCCCGGTCCTCATGACGAGTCCGCCGCCTTCGCCCGAGCGCGTGCACAAGTACAGCCTCCTCAAGCGGTCGTTCTCGCTCAACCTGCGCTCCACCGTCTACCCGGCCGGCGGCGACTCGGCGCTGACGATTCTCACGCCGACCGAGGACACGGCGCAGGCGCTGCGCGGGTTTTGCCTCCGCGAGAGCCCCGCTGGGGATGGCAGCGACGGGGAGGACGGCGGAGGCGTCGCGCGGCGGCCCAAGAAGAAGCTCTCGCCCGACGAATCCACCCCGGCGAGCCCGATGGCCGTCTTTCCGCGCGGCCAAGCCAACGGCTACTGCGACGCCCCGTGGCTGCCCGTCTCCTGCGACGGCGTTGGGGCGGCGGGCGGCGTCGCGCCGGGCCTCTGGGACCATTACCGGCTGCTGTCTCCCAGCACTCCTTCGACGCCGCCCAGCCCTTGGGAGAGCACCCCACCCCCCTTGCCGGGACCACCTCTCGAATTCCTGCCGGGCGCTCCTACCTCTCCGTTCGTCGCTCCGTTCCCCGGTCCTCCACCGGACTCGTCGCTCCTACCCGCGAAGGCGTCGCACCCGCGATGCGCGCGGTCGCCCGCCGCCGATGGCCGCCAGAGTTTGGATTCCCCGCGGCTGCCGGTCCTCGGCATGGCGTCGGTGTCGGCCAGCGGCGAGGACGGGAAGGAGGCCGGCGCCTGCGAGCGCGTCTCCGCCGGGAAGGGGAAGAAGCAGCAGGAGAAAGTGGAACCGCAGCCGCCGTCGTTGTTGATGTGCGGTGGGGGGGCGGGGGCGGCGCCGGGTGCAGCGCGGCCCTCGGGAAGCTGCCGGCCCGAGGAGCCCCCCTCGGTACAACGCTGCGGGAGCGAAGCGCTGGAGCTCGACGAGTCGAACGTCGTCGGCAGGGCGACGTCGGCGGACGGTGCCGAGGTGGGCGCGACGCCGGGCCCCAACGCTAACCCGAGCCTGCATTCCATTAGCAAGCAGTCAAGCCTGGAGGCCATACAGGTATTGTGAGCAGGGTCACAATTTGGAGAGGGGGGGCAGCCCGCTCGCTCGCGATGAGGCTTCAGAACACCAGAGTTACAAATGGCCTGGATTTGAGGCCTGAAGCGTGTTTTGTTCACTGCTGCCTGGTGGTAGTGACGGTGTTTGTTTCGAAGCCGTGGTGCTTAGCGGATGGCCCAGCAGAGTGAGCGGCGGATCACATAGACGGCAGGCAGCAGGCCGCGAGCCGGCCATCTTCTTGAAATGCACTCCGTGAAACCTGCCGAGTGCGTTGTGCTTTTTCTTTGAAATATGATCTTGAGTGACCAGTTGGCGAGGCTCCTACCCTCCCACAAATGTGTTCTGGAGTCCAAACATCTGCAATCCTGAGAAGAAGAAGAATGAGAAAAAAGGTTGACAAACGATACTCCTCATACCAAAAAAATTGTTAGCTTGCAGGAGGGAAGCACACTTAATTACTGCAAACGCAGGTGATTTGCCTCCAGGTGTTCTGAAGACTCTACGTAGAGACGGGACTTGGCCTGAAAGCTGGAACAACTTTAAGGATTGCAACGGCTGCCCTCCTCTGAATAAACTACAAAGACGTTCTGTCGACTAATCTCTGAGCAGCTGCCGTGGAAGTCCACGTGAAACATTTTATTTATTTTTAAACATTTTTTTTTTCTCTCCCAGGACAGATGTGAGACTCTGCCTGTGTGTGGTGTCCTAGGTGCATGGTGATACTTTGGCGTATTAGGCATCGTGTTTGAGCGTGTGAGTGTACCTTACCGTGGGTTTGCGCACGCGCGTGTGTGCATAAAGTATGTGTGTGTGAGAGAGAGAAGGTGAGTCTCTGTGAGTGTTTGTTTGTGTGCGCGTACTTGCGCATGCCTGACTACCTAACTGCATGTGCGCGTGTGCGTGCCCGTGTCTCTGTGTGTATACCCGTGTACATGCTTGTTCACGCACGTACGTTTTTGCATGCGTCTGTGCATGTACGTGCGTGTCCCTGTATGTATGTGCATGCACATAACTGAAGCGGGGCTTGCATGCACACTTACGGATGTGCGAGCGTGGGTATGAATGCTTGAATCCACTTGTGTGCGTGCGGGTACAGATGTTTGAAGGTGTGTGAGCGTGCACGTGTTAAAGTGTTTGTGTGTCTCCTCTCCAAAGCTTTACGTGATAATTCATCTGATGATTATAATTAATATCTATGAGAGGATCAACAACAATTTGTGTTATTTAGGTGATTATTTATGAACACTCCTGAAGCACTTATGACACAATTCTTCTCTTAATCTGGAATTTGGATTTAAGGGATTTAAATTATAATTTATTGACATTTACGTTGTTTCACTTTATAATTTATATCGGTCGTAAAACTGTAGGTCTCTGGGAACTTCTGTATAGTTTTCAGTTTTCGCTTCTTTGTACAAACTATCGTGTGTATTTCATATACATACACACACACAATGGCAAAGACGTTTTAAGAATGTGACGTGAGAAAAACACTCGCTCTGACCTAAACAATGAGCTTATTTTAAACCCCAAATCGGTGAGCGGTAGGCGATCGTGTCATGTGATCACACCTGACAAAAAGGTGGGCCGCATTACAAACCTCCACAGTCCTTTGGAGTTTGTAGAAAATGTCAATGTCCTTTTCTCAAAACCCCTCGGATGTAGAAGTAAAAATGACCACGCAACTCCTCTGAGCCTTGGCCACGTGCAACTGTAACTGTGAATATTACGGCAAGATGAAGATGTTTTGTTTCGTCAAATGCCACGATCGTAGCAGCAATTGCAGCAACGTGACAGAACTTACGCGTTAATCTCTTTGGGCTGTGGTTTTTACTGCAGATAAAATGCATTTGTGGTCAGTAGGAGTTAGAGATAACAAACTGTGGATGTAAGGACTCTCTTACATTGTTTGTGTGTGTATATATATACAAAAGTTGTGTTTTCCATGACTGGGGTAGCCATTGATGTTATAAGGCCTGGAGCTGGGCAGAACACACTGGAGACAATGGCCTAGCGGATCTGAGGTTCGTTAGCCCAGGGACATGAGCTGTTGGGAGATTAAAAGCGCCGTTCTGCCCCGGCCTAATCTCCAGGCCTGACCCAAGCCTTGATCCAACCCGTTGCCACTGATTAGGCTGGGCCAGCAAGGGATTTGGGGCAGGCAGGGCCCACATTTAAAAATCAGAAGGTTCCCATGAAAACAAAGTTTGTTTAATTCATTTTTTAATGTTAATTTTATCGCCAATCTATAAGAAGTTTTTTTGGGTTATAATGCATAAAAATATAAATGTCGTTAAAACCCACCACCACCCGACACAGCCAACTAGTAAGGGTTGTCACGTACACAAAACACGCCAATTCGTTACTAGAAGAGCACACCGGTGTGTTGGAGAGCGACGCCACAACATTTGCAACCTAGGTACGACGTTTCGCCAGTAATTACAACTCGCTTCATCAGGCGACAGCCAGATTTGTGGAGAAGTCTAAGCCTTACTGTTGGCTGTGTCGGGTGGTGGCGGCGGCGGGTTTTAACAACACATTTACGCGATCTAACCCAAAAAAAACTATTATGGATGATATTGGTCGCGATAGCCTATACTCCGTATTAAACTCTATCGCCAATGTTACCTTCATTAGTCCCCGTTTTATCGGGCTGTTTTCATTTCATTCTCCAGTCTTTTTTTTTGTTTCCCAATCTGACATAGGATCCACCGTCCTGCCTCCTGAGGCATGCGTCCCGGGGGGGGGGGGGGGGGGGGGGGGGGGTATAGATAGCGAAATCGCGGCCCTGGCCCGGCCGTAGGCTGTGAGGGACCGGCGGTCAGCGTGGAAGAGAAGTGCGAGGGCATTAATCTTTTTTAATACGAGCTCCACCATCTCTTGAGAGGCCACGCCACGGCCCTACCGAGTGTGCGGGTTGTCCATGGGCCGGCGAGACCTCGAGGCCAGGTCGCTGCAATACCTCAAGAATAAGTTATTCACGGCTCATCCGAGTTTTGCGCTCCCTCCGACAGGGGTTGTGAGACCTCGTGACGCTGCGTGGGGTCTCCCCTGCTCTCCGCTCTCTCTCTCTCTGTATCCTGCCCTTGTTCTCTCCCTAAACGCACTTATCTTCCTCGCAGTTTTTCCGTGTTCATTTACATTTGCTTTGGTTTTGCTTATTTTTCTATCGCATTCCTCGCTATCGCCCCCCTCGCTATTGCCCCCCTAGTTCATCCTATCTATAGCTCTCTGGCGACCTTCATATTGCCCCCTTCGCTGTATCTTGGCTTCCCTCGTGTTTCTCTGCATCTTCCTGTGTCCCATTTCTGAATGCAGCTTTCAATCGATTTGTGTCTGCAAACGTTCTCCCTCTCCGTCCATCTCTCATCCTTTCCCGTTCCGAGACGACTGCAAGTTGCTGGGTGGGTCCAGTTCGCCGCTGAATTGCGGAAAGCGCAAAGCGGTTCAGCCTTCATTTTTATTTAGAGAGGCAAAACGCCGTTGTTTTTAAAGACCTTTGCACTCACCGCAAAGAACTGTAGCGACACGACCGCACTCTATGATAGCTGGCGTCAAACTGTGCAACACGCCCTCCCGCATAGCCTTGTGGGAGCCTCGGTACCAATACATTTATTTTAGTTTAGTTTTTCAAAACCGGAAGAAGTGCACGTACGTCATCAGAACGGGAACGGGTTAAACCATCCACCTTTCCACCCTCTTGGTGTTTCTCCACCTCTGCCTTGCTCTTTAATATTTGTCTCCTACCCCCATCGTCACCTCTATGGTATGAATGTGTGTTCCGGATGCTGTCCTTGTTGTGCAATACAAGCGGCCGTTTGGCCTTCTCGCCGTGGGCCCGTCCCCCTCCCTTTGTGCTGTATTGTTGTGCACACACAAATTACCGTCTCGGCTCGAACCTCAGCGTTCTACCGCGGCAAGAGGCCGTTCCTCCAGCCACACGTGAGACAGGGTGGGGGTTTCGGGAGGATGGATGTCGGGTTTGGGAGGGTAAACAGTGGGGGGGGGGCTCAGACAGCTGAGCCTGTCTCGGACCCGTTAATGTGCACGTATTTAATTTTACTTGATGCGATTTAAGTGCGTGATTTTTCGTATTTCTGTGTCCCCTTGCCTAGTGCACCTACATTTGTGATATGATTATTGTAAACGCACGCGCACGTGCTCGCACGTGAACACGCAGGGACAGTTTCACAGGTGCGCAGTCTCGTGTACGCTTGCATACGCATGCACACGCATCACGTGTACATGTGCAGTCAACTCTCGATTACCTGGGGCAATGGGGGTATGGGTGGCCAGGATAAAACGCAAAACGTACGTAAGCTCAGCTATTAAACATGTATTGCTTACATGCGTAGATTGGGGGCGAAGTCGTAGAATCTGTCATCTGTTGTATTTTTTAAGTAATCGGTTTACTGGCTGATGAGTTTGCGGCCATGTGGGCACTGAATCATTGACCCTCGACGAGTGGGGAGCTGCTCATAATGAAACCAGTGTGCGCACGTAAAGGTATCTTATTTTTTTTCACAACCAGGATAATCTGTCCACGGATGTATCGAGATTTCACTGTACACATGCATGAAAAACACAGGCATATACACACTTCCACAAGCGCACACACACACAAACAACAGGGCAGCCAAGACAGGACAGGAAGCGACCATAACATTTGTTTTTGCGGGGTCTGGATAGCTGCACCAAGGGCCCAAAATTGTAGTGAGTTGGGCGATAAACCGTTTGCTGTGTGGACGTGCGAGAATGGAGAGGGAGCCAGACCGAACAAGCACAGCACCCCGGGTGAAGGTGCTCCATCGCAGCACCCCACTTCAGCGTTACCGAGCTTAAGTCAGTGCGAGGATAGTCGAAATTATTTTTGTAGCTGCCAGTGGTTTAACGCTGGCAAAACATATCCACCGCTCTCTCAGACGAGAGATACTGTTGGAGTAAGTGCTGTTCGCGAGTGCCCGTTGATGCCAGTGGAGGGCACAATGGGGCAGTGAGGATTCAACCAGCCGTGCATGCCCGGAGGCATTTCTATTCCCACGGTGAGATGCACACAAATTAGCATGAGGTCAAAGTAAGTGGGATTAGGCCGGAGCCTAGCGATGGTGAAAACTGTATGCCAAGTTCGCGCGCACTTTGGCGTTAATAGTGGATAACATTAAGGTGTGCGGTGATGGGGAATGAAAGGTCATTTAAAAATGTGTGAAATATGTTCCCCTCCCTCGGATGTATACACCATTTGTCACGTATTCACACGCAGGGATTGAACCCAGGTTGAAGAGATTGTAATACAAGAGTGCTCCATTAACTCTGGCACCACTCCTCACCGTGCCTGGGTGAGAATGGCGTGACGCCACGTTGACAAATTCGGACGCAAATATTCTCAGCATTTTTATTAATGGTTCCTTGGTGCAGTTATGCTTAAACGTAAAAACACATTCGATAAGAATAAAGTGTCCGAATGTTTTTTTTTGTTATATACAATTACATTAGATTATGTTTTACTCCGTGAAGGCGAGCATATCAAAGTCTTAAGCTGAAGTTAAAATCTACAACTTTGTTGAATGTCATTTTGTCGGGTCTACAAAAGTTGTGTGGCATTCATTGTTTGGTATTGCAACTTCGTGAACGTTTTAGGTTGTGTAATGCATCATAGATGCATGTAATTTAGCCACACGACCCAATCACGGCAAATTTAAAAACATTTTAAATAATGAATATAGGATAACATAAGCCACAGGCATTTGACCCCCAACATACCCCTCTTGCCTAGATGCCAAAAAAAAAATTGGCTCTGTGATCGAGGCAAACAGTTGCGGCCTACTCAAATATACTCGGGTTATAAAAAAAAATCCATAGGCATTGTAGAGAACGAAAAAGCAACTGTGTAATTCAGAATTTACAGATCAGTATATACTAACTATAAGTCACTTAATGGCATGTAATATTTTAATATGCCATTTTTTAATTCACCCACATGACCTATCGGTCACGAGGGTTGTTTGATTACACTTCTCCGCGCAGGTCAGTGAAGGTTGGCAGAGTCAGGGCCCAGAACTGCTTCTAATTGTCACTCACCACGGATGTTTTCGATGGCCGGGAATTGGACTAAGTTGAACGGGTTCATAGGGCAGTGCACAAACCATTTCGCCGCCACTCTCCATGGTTTTACTTTTCACGTTGGCAATTTTCCAGAAAATTCAGGCACATTTGCCACGATAACACTGACACCTTTTACAGCTGTGACATGGCTTTTTGACGTGCCTGTCAAACCCATATTACTTTATTACAACCGATCACAGCAAAGTTGCATGAGGGGAGTCGCATTTCCAAACTGGTTTTGGGGAACATCGTTTCAGAGCCACAACCCCAAACGCAAACAAAAACATTCCCCCAATGGTTGCAGCCCTTGTTAAACTGTTCAATATAAAACGACATTATTGCAAGCAACAATAATGCATACAGATTGCACTGTATTCACTTCACCTTAAGAGAGGTTTTGGCTTGGATGAGACACAAATGAAAATCATCATTGGATAGCTGTACACGCAGTCCTGATTCGCAATTAAGGACATATTCCTCGTCTGTTGTTAAAACTACTGCCTTGTCACGAACTATGTTAACATTTCCTGGGAAAATGTAAGGTCTCCAGGACTTCATGTCAAGGGTAGCATAAGCTGTTGTTTTCCACACGTTTTTGGTGTTAAAAGTCACCCCTGTGGTAAGTGTAAGGTCTTGGAGGAAGTGAAGAAAATCCTTGGGTGTTTAGTTAATTGAAATAGTAAATCCAATAACGTCCGGGTAAAGATACGAGAGCTTAATGATTGCTACGATGAGTTTGACATTTTCAGCAATTTCACCTGCGTGTTTTTCAAGAGGATAATTAAAACGCGCGTGCATTAGGTTTGTGTTTATGGCGAACGTCAAATGTATAATTTAATCTTTTTGGGCAACTTCTTAAAAAAGAAACAACGTTCGCATTTTCTTGGAAAATGAAATCGTTAAATTATGCGGTCGCTCATGCAGAAAGGTCACCGTACTCACTCACCGGACCGGATCAATTCCCACATCCTCCGCCGGGGAATTTCTGCAGAGAACTATAAAATCGTTGTGTTTGCTGTCGAGAGAATGGTAAGGGTCCTGCGTGGCGCCATGAAGGAAAGGCACTGTGCGCTGGCGTCATGAAAGAATGCCACATTTTATCATCGGCAGCAGTCTCCCAAAAATACCAACTCTTCCCCCCCCCCCCCGTCCCCTTAATCAGTATGGTACAATTTCTCGGGTCATTGGTATCAGTGGGCACTCGCTTTGATCATGGACGTTCAATCCAATGTAAAAAAAAAAAACTAATGGTGTTGTTACAGAATATATGTAACGTAAAAACATGTTTAATCACTGGCAATTTATTTTCCAATGTGAACAATTATCAAAGTTGCATTTTTAAAATGTTATATTCTATTGTAGCTATTGATGACAAATCACAGACGTTTGCACAATATCCTTTAAGGCTCTGCCCTACCTTGGCCATGAGTCTATACAGATGAATGAGTTTTCACTGTGCCTGCTTACAAAATATGCCCTCAAAGGAGAGGCTCGATAAGCACTTAAAAACTTTCAAATACTCTTTTACTGTTGTGCCATAATTGGTGACCTGACTGAAGATGATCAGAGCCTGCTTCATTTTGGAACACTGATAATCAATTGGGAGGCCCTTCAGACACCCAGCCACATCTGTACCTAACCATCCTTAAGTTTATCACATTCTTAATCTGATCGTTCATAAGACAGCGGTGTTTAAAAACATCGTCAAATCGTAAAGGTTTAGTTTCCCTGGGGGAATTTTTTTTTTTAAACGACAGTGGTTAGTAGAAGTGGTTGTAATGAGTGGTGTGGTGGAGAGTATTTTGCCATGTATCCACTTAGTTTTTAAAAAAGAAATAAAAAATATAGCATATGCCTACTTTTTTGTGAATTACACAGGCATGTTCTGCAACAAATTGTGTATCCCTGTATAAACGATGTAACATTCAAATAAAAAAAACTCATTCGTGCATGTAAGCAATGTTACCAAAATCTTACACACATCTAAAAACTGCAAAAACAAATGCGATATATACATTTCGAGCTTTGAGCAGTAGCTCATCTCCCTTACAGCCATTGGTGGAAAGTACGCATTCCTGTGCCGAGTTGAGTAACTTCACCAGACGGTACTTGTTTTATTAACATTGACTTTGGGGGATGATGTGGATGATGATACATTGCGACTGGATGAACCCCAAAAAACAGATGATTGGCAACTCTGCTTTTCCAACAACTGACGTGTACTCATGTGATGTACGCTCATTTAAATCTTGGCACATTTCATTCGGGTTTCTAAAACGTACCGAGCATCATTTTGTCTGTATTTTAACACGGGACAGGAGAACGCCGACTGAATCTTTGGACATTAAAATGCGATGTCAATGAAGCGAATTCAGGAAGTTGGGTATACGTGCACATGTGAAGTGAACAAGTCAACAACCGCACACACAACACGCGGACACACACAAAACACTCTCATTGATACAATTACCGAATGTGATGGCACAAACGGCATCTGCACAACAAGGTAATCACACCCGCGCATTGCTACGAGATGGACAATAGCCTGCTTCGCCGGTGTTGACAATGGCTCTTGCACTGTGGGTTTTAACGCGAGCCGAGCAGGCACAAACGACTACACAGCAATTATTTATGATGTGATGTTATGATTATTATGTGCTGTTGAATAAAACAAATATGTTTCCCTTAATACGTTGTCGGTATTGTGTGGTGTTCTCTCGTTTCCTTTTCTTCATTGCAATCCTAGTGGTTTAAACAGAATTCCGTCTATTCTAGGTTGGTTTGACATTTGTATCCTTTATCCCAGCATCTCTTTTCTTCATCAAGCCTTTATCCATAAGAGGTTTTATGGGTTAGATGAATAATATTTGTCGCGAAAGCCGACGTATGAAACTGATCAAGCCTTTGTCTGAAAACATCTTAATACATAGAGGACTGCAGAGGTTTTCGGGAATAGATTTCACTTCCCAATATATATTTTACAAAATTGACTAAGTATATCTCTCCAGTACCATATTACAAATTCAATGTAGTGTTTTTGTAAGTTTATCGCCGGATATATCGATTATATGGACACCACCAACCACCACCACCCGCAATGGAGTGGCCGCATGAAACTCGCCACCTATTGTAAGTGGACGTGTTCGTTAATTTGTTAATCTACCTGCATAATTATTGATCATTTATAACGCGTGTATAATTCTGTAGTGCCCACGCCAATTTAACAAGTTAAGCGTATTTAATACCGAATATTAATTGCGTATTACCGAATACTTTCAAAATAAGTATATTTCAAAGCAAACGTTGTGGGTGCGTCTTACATTCCGGTACGTATTATCCGGATAAAATATCAAGTAATAATTTCTAAACAATATAACCGTAGTGCTGGTTATTTATTTATGCTTAAAATGTGTACGTATCACTTGCGCATTTTTGCTCGTGCAACGTGACGTTTTAAAAGTTACGGATTGTGCAGTGAACGATCAGGAGGCATCTATGACGGTCATTTGATGGGTGAGCTGCGTCCCAGGAAACATCCGAAATCTTATTTATATATCTTTGTTATTCTTAGTCAGTCCAGCAGAGGACAAAACGACACACGTGACAAATACAATTACAAAGAGATGGGGAAACCGATATAGAGATACTCGACATCGCGAAATTTTACATCGTCAAACAAGGTTAACCTCCAATAACGGTGCATGATCGATGACTGACAGGTGATGTAATGTTACCCAAAGTTAACGCTCGTGTACGGCCCCTTTTTGTCCATCCACTGCTGGACGAGGTCCTCCCATGCAGTGCGGGCTCGTGGGGGTTATTTGACCATACTTCACCACGCTTGCGCGGATAGACGAATGATGGGATCATAGACGGTAACACTGCAGCCACCGTACTAACAATGGGAATTTTACTGCATTGCTCCCCCTGGTGACCGCCACTTTAAGCCTCAAAACGGACCACAAAAAAAGCAGCAGCGTCTATTCATGGTGGCCAACCCATCCAGGTACTATCCAGGCTCAAGTCTGCTGAGCATTACGGGTTACTTGGCTTGCCACGTTGATGTGTCAAACTGCTGTCATGTGATTGGATGACCATGTGCTCACCCACACAGATATGATACCAGTCCACTCGGGCATGTCTTGTGCAACAAAACTCCTCGTGCTCATGCGCTGCCACCTGGTGTCACGCAGGCAGTAGTGGCGTGGTTGGAGGGCATCAGCAGAGATGGTGGTGGGACAAAGAAGGGGGTTTTCACCTCCTGCAGTGTTCTTCATTGCAAGGGGCACGCGGGCCCAATGCTGGCCACTGGTGGCCTTTGGTGCGGCCCCCGACAAATCACAACATGTGAAAACACCCCACATCGTGCTGCTGTCAAACCCCCAACAGTTAAACAATAGTGTGGCGGCCCGCGCACTGATTATGTCTTATCGGTGAAAGTGGCCCGCCCTCTGAAAATTAGCGAGGACCACTGGCCTGCTGTAATACGTAATGACTTTGACAGCTTCAATGCTGTTATTTTATCGTCCCAAATCATTATCAGTCGTCATCAATCAGCTGCAAAAGAAATTCCTCCCACACGCCGACGCCATATCGTAAGTATTGCAATGTCACAATCATTCTCACTCCTGAAAGATGGATCTTGTCTCATTAAATCTAACTCGACTCAAATTTCAAAATAAATTTCAGCCCCAACATCTTGTCAACATCCAACCACCTTCAGGAGCAAGCATCTGTGACCACCACTTGTCAGAGGTGAAAATTCCACATTCCTATGATGGGGGTTCGTGTCACGACAGAACCACCACTGTTGACTTCCCACTGTAGTATGGAGGTTTATCAAACCCCCTATAGTTGATGAGCCGAGTTGACCTCCAACCACAATTTTAATTCAACCTGCAGATGATATATTGATAAGGATGCCACAGCAACATGATCACACATTATCGGTCCACTGCTGGATTACGTCCTACCCAAGCCATCTATTATATGGTCAAGCAACGCAACATTCCATCTAGCATCTGTACGGTATGCAACTTGATTTCGTTGCACCGTCTCTGTAGTTCGTCTTCTCATTTGTTCCTTCTGAAAATGGCAGCAACACCCCACCGGCTGAAAGCAGTAAACCCCCGAACAAGCCACGCCCAAAACCCACCAAACAGCTCCCGTCTAGCGGCACACGCTGGAACTGGGGTAAGACTTTATTTTGTTGTTAAACTGTTATCCATTTCGTCGAGTAATCACACCGTTAATCGACAATTTAAATAACTGGATATTCCGGCTCCACATGGAAGTAATGTTTACAACACGTGTGGTTTTCAATGCATGGAACATATTGACCAGATTTGTGCCCGTCCAATGACATCATCCCCCAAAGTCTGCCAGTTAGGAGCAATGTTGCTACGTTTCAACAATAATTTGTAAATTATGTCTCATTTGTAACATGAAACTAGCACATATGGCCTACAATATTAAACATCTGAATTCTAACAATGTTGAAGATGGTGCCACCCCCCATAGCTTTTCCTGACATAGCAGCCTCTCCGCCTAGGACATATTTAACAACCGGAGAACAAGAATAACGCATGCATGTTCCCTTGATTGAACAGAAATATGGTTTGTGGAGGCTGGGACACATTGGACAATACACACACCAGAAATAAACATCACCAGGTACACATCACCTTGGTATCAGCTTTTTATTAAGTTTTCAAAGATATCAGTAGAAAATACATAATACTATCATATCAATTTGCCAAAAAAATAGGTTGTGCAGTATATGGTTAGAGTTTTGTGTCGTCGGGTTTTAACAACTTTCTTTGTAAAACTGAAAGGAAAATTGTTTTTGCCACCGTGGATTCACTTTGCTATTGGCGTTTGACCAGAATTCGGACAGGTCGCGTTTTAAGACGATGACATTACACATTTTATATTTCCTACAGGACTCCACTTTTTAAGGGTGGTTTGATAAAAAAAAAACCCACATCAACCCACAACGTTACAACAGTTTGTGATTTGTATGTTTTTATTCCCCACTATTTTCTGTCATCGCACAGTGCCATGCTTCCCAGCGATGTCTCGTCATCACAACAAAAACAACACACGACTAACCTTCGTTTCTTTTAGAAGTACGGTCTGAAACATTGCAGTTTATCTTTTGTGATTTATTTCCTCAGCCCTTTGTAAACCTCCCTCAAATAGCCCAATTTACCCCCAGCTGTTACACCTTTCTCATCACTTTCTTTTTATGTCGCCACTAATATCCCAGTTGAGGGTAGAGTGGTAACGCAATGGTAACCACGCTGCTGTAAAAATCCAGAAAATTGTATTCCTGAAAATGAGCGGTGGGCACACTGATTCTGAACCCAATTATCTTTTGTTCTTTTGCCGGTTATTGGAGATCAGTGGCGAGTGAAAATTCGAACGGGTCCTTAGCGCCCCCTATCGTCAAACTCCCGTCACCGCCGTGGCATGCCGAGGCCTTTTTTTCTGCACAGAATTAACAAAGGGTTGCCAATTATTGTCAACATCGCGATTGTGTTAACGGAGTCACGTCACAATACAACTATCCTGGGAACGTTGTACAGATTCTCACACCCAAGGTGTCACAAAAGCGCACAAGAGACACCACAGAGGCACCTTGGCATCGTTTCTTCGCGAGGGCCATTTGTTGCCACAACCACAAGACGGCGCTTCGTCGTGCCCTGTGAAGCGTGGAACGCCCCGAATCCATCATCTTTATTACACACATTTACAATCGTCTACCTCAGAGCTGCGCTGGGCCACGTCTAATGCGAAACTTGTCACATCTATAATAACACCCGGGTGGCACTGTGGTGGGCGCGCTTGACTCACAATTGGTGCAGGGGTGGGTGGGTGGGTGGGGGTGTTACTAGTTGAGAGTTCAAATCGGATTTCAAGTTTGCCTTTCATCCCTCTATAAGAAGAGTACTGCATTGTGGGAAGTCACTCTTTTTGGAGTAACTCAGTCCTGCCATCAGAATACGGAATTTCCACCACTGGCTCCATCACTTGCTCGAGCAGGGAAAAGCTCCAGCGGATTAGTGAGTACACACCTGCACAGTATGGTGTGAGAACCAGGTTTAACGTGTCACAATAACCTTACAATCCAAAGATCTCAGCAGTGCCACCTCAATGCTCTGGCCTGGGCATGACATTGATCTGCACAACTGACGCGAGTCACCAGTCCACCTGGGTTTTAAAAAAAAATATCAATTGATAAAAACCGAAAACACATCAACTCTTAGGGCATGACAACTTTGAAGCATGGTGGTGTAAACGGAAGTGGCGAGAAGGGTGAATCTTCTCAGCGAACTTGTGAAGTACTGGCCAGTTTAAATTGTCGAGGCTTGGGGGCTGTGTACACGAGTCACGTGGAGCTCTCAAGCCGTTTGGCTCTTTCCCTCTCCGCCAAAAGGGGTGTCGAGATCTCCAACCCCATTTGACTTGGTTGACATTCACATTGCAGCAGTCGTAGTGGTACCGTCCAATCCCAGTTCACTCAAAACCACAATGGGAAATCCAACCTCGCATAGAATCGAGTAATTCTGCGGCCAATTGCGTAAAACCGCTCGAGTGATTTGCTTCACCTCAACTCGTGTCGAATCTGCTTTAAAATATAAACGTGTTTTCAGCAACCAGCCACTGATCTGACGTGAACTCAAATATAAACTTGAGATATAACCTAAACCATACCACCAACTCTATCCATAATGATAAAGCTAACTTCAATTGTACACATGCCTATAGCCATAGCCAACAATAACGCCTCTAACCTACCCTGCTACACACAAACCTTTGTTTATAAACCTAACCCTTACAGTAAAGCTAACTCCACTAAATCAAATCATAACGCTTACGACAGAGCCAACCAGAACCCCCTAAAAGTTCAACTCATGACCTGTATGATCAGGTTTGGAAAGCCGACATCAGAGATACCACCTGTCTGGTTGTCCTAGGTGTTGTGTGGTGGTGGTGGCGGTGGCGAGGGTGAGGGCATGAGAGCGGTGAAGTATGGGGACTCAGTTGCTGCGGAAAACCGCAACGAGCGACCCCATTCGCCCATGCAAACGTCCCCAGGTTCCTAAAGCACACGGGGCACCAAGTGAGGGTACGACGCAACCTCACAGCTTACTAACAACTACACCTAACCAGCGGACAAGGCGCATCGCAACGACCTTACCGACGCAAGCTACGTAAACATTAACGATGAAAACAGAAAGAACACTGAACTCCTAATCTACGGCATTGGTGCGAGCGGCGCATGAAAAGCGGTCGCAAGCTTTTGTTCTGCGCCACCTCGAACTTAACCGAACAAAAGCATTGATTCGGCGGTGGAAAGCAGTCACATCTTGGGGCGTACTCGACTAGCGTGCATCACCAAAGGGGGGATGTTGTTGTTGTGAGGTGGCTAGATTTATCGTCTATATTTGTCTGGCCACCGGTTGTGTGTAAAGTTTGGGCTATGGCACTGGCCACACAATGGCCAACACCTGCACATGAGTTATCGGTGAACATGCAAATCACGAGGTCACATATCCTCACACACAACGGCCATCTGCACATCCTTATATGTGATGAGACGCATGATATATATTAAGCATTTGTATGCTACGGCGATGCTGCCATGGATAAATCTTAGTGCAGCAGCTGAAGCAATGGGCACGTTTCTTAAATGAACCCATCTCCGTCAACCCAGTCAATCGGCAGGTCACGCGTGATGTGGGTACTCGCACATATTCCAAGACGTCTGGCCAACGTGGAAGAGAAGGCCAACTATCCACTAGAGGGGTTCTCTAAAGCTCCACGTTGTGGGGGCCATGCTTCTTCGAAGCAGCGGCGTGTGCATGAAATTGCAGGGCTGCATCTTTACTTTTTGCCTTTCTGTTTGGATGATGATCTTCCTTGCCTTGCAGCAGCTTTGCATCTCAAGAAGAATCAAACAATATTCCTACGTGAATACTAAAAAAAAGAGCAGTTATGACGACAACTTAATCTTAACATTATTTTGAAAACTACTTTTGAACTATCTTTTTTGAAAATGTAATCATTTAGTAATAACTTGCTTGAGATGGACTTTTTTTTCTTCCCTTGCGGCTGATGGCCACACCAAGAGTTAATTATCAGCCAGTACATTAAGTCCAAACTTGGGTGTGCAATCCATTAGCCCACACAGACATAACTGGTTGAACAGGAATATCGAGTGCGGTGATCACAGCCCAGTTTATAGTTTATGCACAATATGCACCATCACAAGAACTATGCATTACATTCAGAGCAGCTTGGCTCCGAGGGCTAATTCAGAATAGGCAAACCGCCCACCCATCTGCGCTGGTAATTAAAGCACAGGTAAGCGATGGTAGGAAAAGAGGCCCTCTAAATATTTCAAGCAAAACCCCAACAAAAAATTGATCTGTTCTCTACGTAGAGGGATTCAGAATGGGGGGGGGGGGGGGGGGGGGGGGGAAATGCTGCATGTTGCATGTAAATGCCAAAGGCACAATCGGGATATAACGATTGAAAGTTCCCAAAAATATATACCTTTCATGTAATGCTCTTCGAACGGCCTGCAGAAAGCCAGCGAAGCAAGTCTGACATAGGCCTGCACTAGAATCAGCCAACGCCAGAGCCCGTTTCGTACAAACGGATTGCGGTCAACTCGACAAGATTTATTAACTTGTAGGAAAACAAAAATATTTGTTCTGAAGAGTTTCAGGCTCAGAAATTTTAAGCTAAAAGCTACAAAAATGTATCGGTCTGTGTACCCAATCGGCTGCCTGTGGGTTTAACTTCCAGACCAGACGTGTCACTCGATTAATTTCTAGCTTGAGATTGTTGCATGCTTAAATGTCTCAAGATATAGGCCAGCATGCCACGTCATATTTCCCAACTGCAAATATTTCAAGAGTTATGACTTAACGACAGTATTCAACCGATGTGGGTCTGCATAACGTCATTTTGTTGTATTTTTTGGTGGCAGAATGATCATCTAGAAGAGGTAAAATGCTGGAGTGTAGATTACTTGCAAACATCAACTCCCTTTAATGACATGTTCATTCAATGTTTCAATATTGTTTACAATGCAGGTTATTACGAAAAGTTAATAATAATAATACATTTCCCTAACTGTGAAACAGACAGGGATTTAATTCTGCCAAGTCCCATCTACAAACTTTTCACATGCCAAAGGTTAAATCATTGATGTGTAAACTCTAGATTCAAAAGGCAAAGCTTCGTTAGAGCAGGTTGCACAGTAAACTGTTTTGAAACCCCCATGTCACCAAAAAGGCCAGGCAAGCTAGAACAATTTGGAGGCAAACCATTCGAGGCTCTTTGCGATGCACAAATTGGGTGGCGCAGTGGTTAGCAACCTACGCTATATGAATCCATTGACCATAAAGCTCATTCCCGGGCACGGCGAACTTCAGTGGCAGGTGATATCAGTACCGGTCATGTGCTCTTCTCCTTTACCGATCTGCATTGACTAGCGTAAAGTTTGGTAAAAAAAACAATTACCCACAGTGTTGTGGGGAGTTTAATTAAATGTTATCAGCTGGGTGGCACCACATTTGGCATACGTCCCAATTAACCAGTTCGCACGGAGCTTGCACAAAGAGGACGGTTCAATTGCAGTCACTCGTTTGTTTATTGGCGGCAGAATTTTCCCCAATCCACGTGGCACTGTGTCCCGATGCCCAAACTGGCAGTCAGAAGCCAATTCTCATTGGTTCAAATGCTGGTTGGGGGTTAATTTGACCCATAATCCCAATGGGGGTTGATACTACAATGAGGGAAAGTCAACCGTTGTCATCCTACGAACAGGCTGGCCCGTTGGCTGAGCAATGTGGAATTTCTACGACAGCCTTCGGATCAGCACCGGTGCACACGAGGCGGGGACACCGCGAATGCATTTGTTACCTCAAGCATGCCACCTCCTGCAAAGAAAATGCTGTAAATTGTGATCATTTGCACAAGGATGGTGCGAGAGTCGCAAGTTTTCACATTTGGGAATTATCCCCCCTCCCCCCCAACTTAAATGTAACAAAAATGAATTAGTCTTTATGCAATTATGGTTACACACAAAACCTGCCACGGTAGTGAATTCCAACAGGTCCCTACCTGGTTAAAACACAGGCCATAGTAATTGAAATGAAACAACCAATTTAAATAATGTTTAAAATAAATAAAGGCATAATCGTTAACCAAGATTTAAAACCCTCGGGGGAAATGCAAACCATACGGAACTTCGATCGGATTGTCACCACGTGACCTCTGCATTTCAGTTTGTGAGCCACTCCGAAATGGAAAGCGCTGTTCACGTGACGACAGACTACGTGTCGAGAGCAGCGAGTGTACAACTAGTATGAAGCCCAATACAAACTTAGAGTGCAGCTAGAGTAATAGCACAGGGGATGCAAGGCTCGGCGATGTCACGGCTGCAAAATAAAAGAAGCTGTGCAGTTTGGTGCAATGCAGCCTTTAGTCGAAGACTAAACTATGCCCCGTTCACCTTGCCCAAAGCAATCAGGGGGGACAAAAGAAAACTCAATGCTTTTAAACGTCTTAAAACTACAACTTGAAACCGTCGCGCCAATCCAACTCAAAGTGACTGCGATGCCGGATTGTTGAGCACGAACAACAAGAGGTCACTTATTCAGGATCATTTACAGGAAACTGGATCTGATGACACTTTTGTAGTGCCGAGAAGTCATTGTGTTTAAATAAATATTACTTTAATGCCAGTTGTTTCAGGATTTGCTCAGTAATCCTTGCTCAGATAAATGTGTTGCTGGATGAAATATATTTCTTTGTAGCGATCCCAATGCACTGTTAAGCAGACATGCGTAAAGAAAGCACAAGACAAACGCTTCAAACACTGTGATGGATCCATAACCTCACTCCTCTATGGTCTCCAGGAATATCTCATTAACACATCAAACATATCATGTGGACATCAATAGGTGCCATGGAGCCTCAAACCCTTCTATAGCATGTGCCCACAGCTTGGCCCAAACCCCTGTCTTTCAGAACGGAGTTTCAGGACACATTAGAGCTGTGTTTCTGTATCGTAAATATGCGTGAATTGTGTGTTAGCTGCGTGGCAAACTCAAGATAATAAATGTCACAGCAATAAGCCAAACTGCTAAATTGATGAGCTCTGATCTGGGCCACCTGTGATTAAACCTCATTATCAAGTGCAGTGAATTTATCATCTCAGCCCAATCACAAAATGTCCGATTGTGACATGCAAAGAGCTGCTTCTTTTACTTTTACTAAACACAAATCAGTGCAGCAGTTTAGTGTTGCGTTAGAGAGATCATCCATAAGGTGACGCTAGGAGCAGTTCTGAGATGTCATCGCCCACATATTTCAACACCAACGTGAGGTCCCCCTGGCTAGTAAATAAATCCCAATATTATTTTAAATATGCACATATTGTTAATGTTAGTGGTTTTTAGTAACACCTGACGGATACAAGGAAAATGGCTCAGTTTTTCTGTTTGAAACTATGTTGCAAGAGACCAGGTTTAAAGCCACTGTGTGGATACCTGAGGCTCCAATAAAAGCCAATCAGAACAAAAATGCATTCCAAAGTTCCTCCAAGCTACCGGAGGAGTTTAACGGCAGCTTTCTGCATTTGAAGCATTCGTCTGAAACTTGCTCTTTACACCCTAGCTTTGAAAGTGAAATAACAACAGAGGTTTCTACCAAAAAAATGAGTGCAACGTTACAACATCCACATCCCATTTCTGCCGTTTTTTTTCATAAACCAGACAAGACATGATTACATTCTAAAACATTGCTGGCTAAAGCACGATTGTCTCCAGGTGAAGTCATGAAAAAAAAATAAGCTCTGAAAATGTTTTTTATCCAATGGGCTAATTAAAATTCGAAATCACGGATCGAGAAGTGGCTTTATTTTCACAGGAGAGTAGATGGGAGTTATTGGGAGGAATTTTTCACGTGCCCCTTTCCTCGAGCCCCCAAAAACCAAGTGTGAATATCTTTAACAAGTCACCCCCCCCCCCCTTGCCTCACCCCTGCTGAAAACAGCACCCGATCACTTAAAATGTTTCTGAACATTTTGAAATAGGGCATTGCGATGAGTTTGTCCATCAGCAGATCGCATGTGGCGAGGTAAATTGTGGGTTCGCCTACCTCTTGCTAGATGTCTGGCCAATGTGTATGCGTAGGCCAAAGCACGCTCTGGAAGGGCTCCCTATAATAGAGGCCCATCTACCAGCAGTTGTGTGAGCAAGCAATAACAGTGCTGCACCTCTACCCTTTATTCATTAGGGCTGCGGTGACGCACATCGTCGGCTGTCCAAAAGCAACAACAGTAAACCGAACACACGAACGTGGCAAAAATGCGCATAAGACGCCGACAACGCAATCAAAAAATAGCGATAGAAACAAAAACAAAAAAAACACTTGTATTTGCAGCGGGGCGGGATAGATGGTGAGCGATAAGGGACAAGAGGCACGCACGCGAGTCACACAACGAGAGCGCAGAGAGACAGGGAGGCCGAAGGTGTGAATCGCATGTCGATCCAGACCCCTCGTCTCCGCCCTGTAATCCGGCGGTCTAACCATGCGCGCGAGTCTCAGGTCGGACTTGGCTCTTCGATGTTTTTTCGGGTTGCACTGCGTGTTGCTCGACATGACGTCCAACGTGTTTGTCACTCCACGCGACGAACAACACGTGGTTCAACCAGAAAACACATCGGGGAGAGCTATACAGCGCAACTGTGAAAACCTACGCGGCAGTGTTATTCAGTCGGACTTGTCTTTCTTCTTTGGCACAAAGGGGACTTTGCTGCTTACGGCCGATCCCATGGCTGAGACCCCGCCGGCAACGGCCGACACGCTGCCCTTCACCAGCCCGACCCCCGCCGCTGGCACCGTGGTCACCACCGTCTTGGTCACCTCGTAGCCCTTGCCGCCCAGCCAGGCCACGCCGCCTAGCGTGGCGCCCACCGCCCCTTTGGTGGCGCTGAATATGCCGCCCGAGACCCGCCAGAGCATGCCCGGCGCGGGAGCCGGCTTGCCATGGTCTCGCTCATCATCAGGGGGGGGGGGGGGCGGAAGGAGACAAAGGTGGGTTGGGATTCAAGCGACACAGAGTATTTGCCATCAGTTGGTTGCACTCAATTGGAACAGAGTTGCGCTAAGGAGTTGGGGAACCTAAAACAAATGACTGAATTTGACCTGAGCGAGGAATGGTATTTGACCTCACATCTCTCTTAAACGATAACCCCATGTCACAGGATCAGTTCGTTTCTAAGAGTGGTCCAGGTGAAAGTATGTTGCGCATGCTTATGACAGCGAGCAAAGTAGGCCAGGGCACCTACCTAAAAAAAAAGCCACATGGTACGGACGAGTCCAGTTATTGCTCCTGACCAGCTCCGAACAAACTCGGCACCGAGTCTAAAGGCTCAAATCAATGAAGGGTTTGGGGGCTCAGAATGTTTTTTTGCACCACCAAATTAGAAAGCGAGATGCCTGTTCCCACTCAGGCCACCGGGGGAATCGCAGCAACAACAAAATTGCAAACTTTGTTGTTAAAGGCAACGTCCCTGCAGGGCTGTGATAAATATATCGGGACCCAGGAGGCACACGTGTTTAGTGCCTGTACCACCACCCTTTTACACTCCCTGTACAAGACGGACATGTCTGCATGTGTGTATTGGTCTCTTTGAGAATACAGCGAGGGAAAAAAGTATTTGATCCCCTGCTGATTTTGTACGTTTGCCCACTGACATAGAAATGATCAGTCTATAATTTTAATGGTAGGTTTATTTGAACAGTGAGAGACAGAATAACAACAAAAAAATCCAGAAAAACGCATGTCAAAAATGTTATAAATTGATTTGCATTTTAATGAGGGAAATAAGTATGACCCCTCTGCAAAACATGACTTAGTACTTGGTGGCAAAACCCTTGTTGGCAATCACAGAGTTCAAACGCGTTTCTTGTAGTTGGCCACCAGGTTTGCACACATCTCAGGAGGGATTCTGTCCCACTCCTCTTTGCAGATCTTCTCCAAGTCATTAAGGTTCGAGGCTGACGCTTGGCAACTCGAACCTTCAGCTCCCTCCACAGATTTTCTATGGATTAAGGTCTGGAGACTGGCTAGGCCACTCCACGACCTTAATGTGCTTCTTCTTGAGCCACTCCTTTGTTGCTTTGGCCATGTGTTTTGGGTCATTGTCATGCTGGAATACCATCCACGACCCATTTCAATGCCCTGGCTGAGAAAAGGAGGTTCTCACCCAAGATTTGACGGTACATGGGCCCCCGTCCATCGTCCCTTTGATGTGGTGAAGTTGTCCTGTCCCCTTAGCAGAAAAAACACCCCCAAAGCATAATGTTTCCACCTCCATGTTTGACGGTGGGGATGGTGTTCTTGGGGTCATAGGCAGCATTCCTCCTCCTCCAAACACGGCGAGTAGAGTTGATGCCAAAGAGCTCCATTTTGGTCTCATCTGACCACAACACTTTCACCCAGTTGTCCTCCGAATCATTCAGATGTTCATTGGCAAACTTCAGACGGGCATGTATATGTGCTTTCTTGAGCAAGGGGACCTTGCGGGCGCTGCAGGATTTCAGTCCTTCACGGCATAGTGTGTTACCAATTGTTTTCTTGGTGACTATGGTCCCAGCTGCCTTGAGATCATTGACAAGATCCTCCCGTGTAGTTCTGGGCTGATTCCTCACCGTTCTCATGATCATTGCAACTCCACGAGGTGAGATCTTGCATGGAGCCCCAGGCCGAGGGAGATTGACAGTTCTTTTGTGTTTCTTCCATTTGCGAATAATCGCACCAACTGTTGTCACCTTCTCACCAAGCTGCTTGGCAATGGTCTTGTAGCCCATTCCAGCCTTGTGTAGGTCTACAATCTTGTGCCTGACATCCTTGGAGAGCTCTTTGGTCTTGGCCATGGTGGAGAGTTTGGAATCTGATTGATTGATTGCTTCTATGGACAGATGTCTTTTATACAGGTAACAAGCTGAGATTAGAAGCACTTCCTTTCAGAGTGTGCTACTAATCTCAGCTCGTTATCTGTATAAAAGACACCTGGGAGCCAGAAATCTTTCTGATTGAGAGGGGGTCAAATACTTATTTCCCTCATTAAAATGCAAATCAATTGATAAAATTTTTGACATGCGTTTTCTGGATTTTGTTGTTATTCTGTCTCTCACTGTTCAAATAAACCTACCATTAAAATTATAGACTGATCATTCTTTGTCAGTAGGCAAACGTACAAAATCAGTAGGGGATCAAATACTTTTTGCCCTCACTGTATATGCGGTTGTTCAAGACTGTGGGTCTCATTTATGCTTTGAACGAAAGACATTCTGCAAATAGTCGATGGAAACTAGGCCAAATGACTACGATTTTTTTTACCAAATATACGTTGCATTTTTGTCAAAATGTACAGCACCACCGTATTTCTACCAAATATTAAAGGATGCTACTTTTTCATCAACAGATTTTTCGGGTCTATCAGATGTGCAGGATTAATTAAAGCAGTGAATGACTGCAAGTTATTATCGTATAATACTTTGCATGTACTTGCAGTACTTGCTCAGTATTCGCCATGTGCAAAATATTTGTAGTATTCTGTGTGTGGTGTGTGTGCGATGCTGTTGTTATGCACGTGTGTGTTGTTGATACTTGTGTGCAGGCTACGCTGGTACATATGAAAACTTTGTTGGCACTTGTTTGCGCTTATTGTTAATGCCCGTGTGTATTAATCCTGTGATCATGCCATTGTAAGCTGCGCTTGTGTATGTTCGTGTGGTATCGGTTTGCATGCATGCTGTGTCAATGTGAGTATAAGCTGCATCTGTGTGTTCGTTAGTGTGCGTGGTGTATTCTTGTGCAAGCATGCTGTTGGTGGCATTTCAAGCTGCATTTGTGTGTGTGTGCGTGTTGTATTATTGTGCATGCGTCCTGTAACGGTGTGTTTCTTGTGTGTGTAAAATTGATTGCTTGCATACCATTTTCACATGTGTAACTGTGCCCTGTGTTACTTGTGAGCATGCAAGCACGTTGTTTACCCATCATTTATGCATTCCTGAACACATACGCGTGTGGTTCTTAACGCACACACATAGCAATGAGGGTCAAATGGCTCCACCCAACATCTGCTAAAAATAACCAAGGGTGGTTTTGTCTTGCCAAACTGGGAATATTTGCTGGAAAACGAATCGCCTCAGGTTGGAGGATCACTTTCCTCGTCACTGCAGGAAAGTATTTTTCCAGGCCATGAGTAACTGGGCTGGAGTGTCTCCTTGACTTTATTGAGCCTATGACCTCATCGGCTCAATACAAATGTCACGGAGACCGTCAGTAACATAGGCCAGGGGACAGTACCATCTCCGACAACTCATTTGGTGACGCAAAAATATTCCAAGCAAAACTCTCCACGTTAAAATTGAGACAGACTTAGGGAGGGCTTCACCGCAATCCTCGTGCAGAGTTTTTTTTATTGACAGTTGGCCAGGAGCTAGAACTGGACTAGGCCACACCTGTGGTTTTGTAGCCAGAAGTGTTGATATGTTGTCTTCACTTGAATTTGGACAATTGATGGATTAAGTCGATTAATCGCAACAACGATTGTAATCGACTACATTTTTTTAGGTAAATTACTTGGGTCCCTTAATAAAAATGTCAGACGCCCTGACACCCTGCCTCCCGAAGGCAAAAAACCTCTGACAATTCACGCCAAGCGAGACAGCTGGTGATACGTCCCCAAGCCACGCCATTCACCTCCCGTCCAGCGGCGCACGTGAGAACAGAGGTTAAACTATTTTCGTGCTATCCGATTATGGCGGATAAATATAATTTAACTGATAATCGGTCATGGTAATCAGCGATTTGAATAATCAGACAGCCCGGCCTGAGTCATAACCATGCTTGACAATGAGCCCTGCCGATTCCTCCGAGCAAGAGAGATGGGCGCTGCGTATTCGGGCCAGAGACTTCACGATACCACTCTTGCCTGCAATCATTTGTATTGATAACGCAGAGCCAAATGCACGAGAGTAGTTTTGTGTCAATTCAAGTAAGAGATAAGGGCCATTGTTTATCAGAAGGAGAGTTCAAGTAATTTTAAAAGCACAGTTGTTAAATTATTGAATGCTTTACGACCTACATTCCTCCTCCGATATCTTTCCCACCCTAACGTTGTCTAGGTGTATAATACGCCTGGCAAAGGTGCACATTCTGCCAGTTGGTTAATGGGCCGTAAGCACGGGGTGGGGGTGGGTAAATTAAGGAAAAAAAGTATAGCCATGCCATCCCCTCGATACCTCTTTGCCACTACATAACCAAGCCGTGCCAAGCCAGCCCTGCATGGCTAAGCAGATACCAGGTTGTTTTTTCAATGCAGAATCCGAGCAGTGCACCTGACATTACAGGCAATTAACCAGTCGAGTCGCGTGTAGATGACACGGAGGACGCGATTAGCCCCATCCCTGGCTCCTGCTTGTCCTCAAGCCAGATTCAGACAGACGTCTTTATGAGACCAGCGTATCAGGTTTTGGATCCGGGTCGACAGGGGAAATAGACAGTGAAGGACCACGTGAGGGCCCGCCCGCGTGCTAGCTTCTGATGTGCCAGTGAGAAAAGGAGTACGAGATCTGACGTGGTGTTAGGCCATATCGGGGGGCCACGAGTTTCGCGGTATGGAGACGCTGGAGGGTTGTGTGTGTGGGCACGGTTTACCTGTGGGCGGTTCAGTCTGCAAGTGAGGAGGTGTGCCCATCATATCCGCATTCATGCTCTCCGTTCCGTTTGGGCCCTGACGTCCACACGCGGACAAATGCGCACATGCACGCACGCGCACAGAAAAAAAAGACATGCCGTTAGTCTCGTAGCGTGTTGAGATGTGCCATTCGTGAGCGCCTATTCAGGCCGATTCAGTAAGACTCCTTTAATTCATGATGCTAACATCCACTCCGATAATTCACAGTCCTAGGCTGATCCGAATATATTCCTATTGTCGCGCAGGTCTATTTTTGTATTATCGATTCTTCTGCGAATTAGGGGGGGGGGGAATCTATAATTACAGATGTCACAGATAATAAGGCCTGCCAATGGCAGTCTCGACATCATTCACGGATAGTAGGCGTCCCACCGTACCTGGCAAGCGCAAACAGGCTGTCCAGCACCACCCACCACACCTGCTGACGCCGACATACCTCACCAAGTACTCATTGAAGGACTACACTGCGCGCAGGACTCTGTGTGTGCCAAGGTGCGAGTCATAGCGAATCACGAATCTGCGAGAAGGAGAATAAACTTCGTCGAGGTCAATTATATTGTCATTGTTTTCTTGCTGAATATTATAATCCTGCTATCAGCGGCACGATCCGAGATGAGACGTAAGGCTCTATTCGGAACTAGTGCAGCTTGTACTGCATCACAGTGTGTAAAAAAACAACCTCGAAGCTAACATCACAGGACCTTTGAAGAAAAATTTGAGCGTTTTTTGTTACATATATGTGCCCTGCAAAGAGCGTGTTCCTTCACATTTCAATTCAATGTTATTCTCACCTGGAATTTGCCAAATCAAGTGAAAACCATATCGAATACATTTGCAATTGTTTTGATTGGTGACCAGGCTGACACCATAAACTTGCCACACTTGACAAGCCGGTTTTAACCAAGGATAATTGCCTGGATCCAAGCGAATGATTGTCAGCAGTGCCAGCTCAGTGCTCTGACATGTTATTAGCCCCGCGAGCCACCTCCAGCCACCCATATGTAGAGTGCATATACACGTTCATGCGTTTTTCCTTTTTAATTACGCGTACTGCATCAGGCACTCGAAGCCCACATGTACGTGCGGTGAGCGGTGTTTTGGCAGAGTGAGTGGGGGGGTTGAGTAGGGGTTGGGGACCTTTTGTACGTCTATTTTTTTAATAGATTGAAACCAGTTCATTCGGTTGTGGGGGTGGGGGGGGGCAATACACATTTATATTCCTTTGCAAAACCAAACAGAGGGCAATCACATACCCAGCAGCAATACTGCGAGACCGCTTTCATCTCTGCTCCTCTTATCCATGACTCGAGTTATTCATGGGGTCAGTCAGGTCAAATCAATGAACCGGCCGTTTAGACGGCTCAGTGCCATTTAAGTTTGTAAGTGTAGGTTGATTTTATTCGTTACACGGATGGTCCGGTTTAGCCAGTAGGCTGGCACTTTTACAAGGGAGATCGTCGGCCGTGTGTGAGCACAGCAACAGCAAAAGAAAGACAACACAACTTCAATATTGCAGAGAACGAGGACAGGGGTCCTTCAGGAATATGGCACAACCAACCGGAAGGAGTTCAGTGATAGTTCCACTCTGTAATCGTAAATCTTTGCGTAATTAAAAGTTCACGTGAGGGTATAAAGGTTCACGTTTTTAATGTGAAATGCCAGATATGTCTCGTGTCGCAATTGCACACACTGCACTTTTCACAAACTTTTGCGTTCGGACAGTGTTCGGGCAAACTGGACAGCAAGTTGTGTAATGGGTGTTGCAAAATGCACTGCTTGGCAATGCCCACAAAGGCCAAGTGGGTTGCATGTATTTTCCAAGTTTATGGTTTTACATATCGTAACCCACTGTGCGCAACACAAGTCGAGTTACAAAGTCATCCCCTTATGCACTCTGTTGTGGATACGGTTGGTAAAGGTGCAGCCCTGCGAACCTCGAGTGACGCCACTGCCGGCGTACGGGCCTTTGCTATGGGTCAGCTCTTCTGTGGAGGTTATTTGGCCTACTCCTCCACACTGCCCAAACATTTTGGAAGAGGTGAATAGAGTCGGCGGTGGGGGGGGGCAGGGGAGGGGGGGTTAAGAATCTTGCCCACCGGGAGATGCAACCCGGCCATCTGTGGCTTGCAAGTCCAGTGTGATAACAATCGCACCACGGCAGCATCAGTAATAAGAGTAATAGTTCACGACGTAACATTACAAGCATTTACACGGACAAAACCATTGTGGTTCTCAATGCGATAACAGCAACCACTGTACATGGACACAGCCAGTGATTTATCTGACACCCCCTGCAAGTCCACTGACACACATAGCGGTCCTCACAGCGGAACACTAAACTTGAAGCAGAAATGCGCCTTCGCCACATTTTTCAAGATTCCCCTGCAGGGGCAAAACTGTATTGTGTGTTCCAGTCAATCAACCGTTGCCCTTTGTTTAACCAAGCGATTCTCACATTTAAGCATTGCGCTGCGACACCCTACCAGCAGGGAAGTGGCCCACTCTTGTCAATGACACCCCAGGGTCTTTAACAACCACTTTAACAGCTCAAGAAACCAATGGGGTGATGGTCAGTATGGGTTGGTGAAGTGGAGGTCCAGGACAAGCCCGGAGATCACTCGACAGTGACGTTAGCCGTAGCTCCGAATCGAACTCAGGGCACCGTGTTCATAAATCAGTTTACTAACCACCACAATTCCATAGTAATATAACACAATTTGTATTTATGAACCATCTAAATGCAACCGCATCTCAACGTGCTGTGCGAAAGAGTGTGACATGTTGGTCATTGGCGGATGGAAGGTGCCGTTAATTTATATAAAAAAAATTCTCAAGAAATGACGCAGTTATAATCGAGAAGAGAAAGACCCTGAGGCAGTACAGAGGCAGGGAGTTGAAAGCACGGATGGCCGGGGGTAGTGTATTTTCAACCAGACCTCAGGGTTAGCAGAGGAGAGAATATCCATTGAGTGAATGTTCACGAAGAGCTTCAATGTTCATTTACACCTAAAAACTATAAATAACTTTTATTTAAAGATGTGTACGTTACATTTTGTATAGTTGTCCAGCACAAGGTAAGACCAGCACACAGCGTATGAATGGGAAACTGATGGAATGTTGATCGGTAGTTGAAATTTTACTCAGCTCAGTGGCACTGGCAATCCTCTCCAACACAAACCACATCACTAGCTCCCCCGCAAACCATCCACGATTTCCCACTGCAGTCTATTCATGTTTATCATTTTGTTTTCTACACACAGCAGGGTTCTGCTTCCACTATGCAAATGATTCAATTTTTTGCATTACATCTGATACCAGCCCCTGCTGAATTATTAAAGTCAAGCCCAAATATCTTGGCACAACAATTTGTTTCAGAAAGTGATTAGTGTCATAGCCTTTCCTCGTATACATAAGGGGTTGAGAGCAAGAGCAAAACGCACAACAGACACAAAGCAGATCATGCACATTGTGTTTAGTGTTTACACATTCTGTGTTTAGTGTTTACACATTCTGTGATTCGTGTTTAGCATAAATAAAAAAATGGTTTAATATTGACTTTGCCATGTCCCCCCCCCACCCCGAGTTGTTTTATGCCCCCTCTTTAAGCAAGGTCATGCTGCAGAGTTGTCAAATGGCAAAGCTATGTCCCTGTAATTATCGTTCGTGGTGAATTAAATTCCAATTGCATTTTTTTGCAATTATGTTTGTATTTATGTGGCAATCGGTTTTTTGGCTGAGATGTTGTTTTTCATGCACATTCATAAGGAGTATCAGCCAGCTAACAGACAGCCCCCAGGGTTTGAACTCAAGGGTTGAGATGTGCGGGACACATACCCAGATCTCGGCAACGGCGTACTGACAGATTACTAGCCCTGGGCCTCAAACCCACAAACTCAATCGGTGCTGCTGGCTCAGAGACTAAAACAACAATTTATATAACGTCTAAACACAACAATACCTCAAGACACTTTATACAAGCGGATGACTACATAATGGTGGAAGTCGGGTCGGTTTTAGGGAGTAGGTCAAGATAGTCGAGGTGACAAGGTTGAAAGTGAATTTCTCATCCACAGTCCAGTTTATCTGCGATTCATCTGGAATTGACAGATAATGGGAGTGTAATTTCAGTTCTATAACTGAGCTTGCACCGCTGAGGTCCTGGGTTCGAATCCAAGCAAACGCTCGTGACTAAACCAGTTTCACAAGTGTAGTTTAGTGGTCTCAGCCCAGTGAAAAAATGAGTGCACAAAAAGCAACACTAAAAGTGTTGCACTTCGTTTGGTTAAATATTTTAGAATTTGCCTGCCAAATTAAGAACATTTTTCTCTGTAGCAGCACACAGGAACTATAACAGTAATAGAAGTAACAAAGTAACTGCAGTACCATATACCGTACTGCCAAGGACCAAGTCAACCGCAATGCATCCAATTTCATCAGATCTCAGCAGTTAAGCAGGGCTGAGCCTGTATACTTTTTAGATGGGCGACAACCATACATAACAGGCATTATAGGCAGTGGTGACTACATTTTTTATACCAGAGGGCAGCGAAGAAAAATACAGTGTTGTACTTAATGGAATTTCTAGGCTCCTGTGTGTCTGTGGTCCCTGCCTTCACCGACCCGCACTGAAAGCGTGAAGTATGGTCATATAACTCCAAGAACCCAAACGGTTTGGGGAGACCTTCATCCAGCAGCGGGTTCACAGAAGGCGTCGTACATGTAAACAAATACTACCTACAGCACCATGTTATGTTTGTATAAAAGTACCACGTAGGTTTCCGCATGTTCAACTCACTTTAAAGCAGCGATACATTTTGAGTGGTTACGACACATTTATAAGGGTGACGTGGCGAGAGAAAGCTGCGTAAAGCGAGTGAGGGCTTTGATTCCGTGTGCTCCGTTCTAAAAGTATAAAATTCAGATATGCACTGACAAAATCTCATTGACTGATATAATCAATGAAAGCGTGGCTGTAGTCAACAGCGAATAGAAGAGGGGGCCTTGCGGTTCAGTCAGCGCATCAATTATTTTATGAATTCAACACACACGTGTGCTTGTGGTTTGCATAAAGAAGCTAACGCAAATCTGGGCTTTGGAGTATAACTCGAGAGGTCTGGCCGCACTAGTCTTGGTATCGGATAGGCCGCTGCAGCTGTGGGACGTGGCTGATCGATGCCACCATTTCCACTCTAAATGCTATTCTCCACTCAAATAAGTCGACAATTTTCACGACGAAACAATAAAAATGTACGGCTGCCCGACAGTTATCGTAGCACGATTTCAAGGGCCTGGTACTGGATGGGGTTGTCTCGGCCATGTGATGTGGGCGATTGCAAAGACATAATTTCCACTGTAAACTCTATTCTCCAGGGCAAAGTGTCTACTCATTTATTTTTTCACGACTAATCAACAAACCCTTGTGGCTGCACCTAAAAACACCAGCCAATATAATAAATTACCCCCGTAATCCAGACTCAAATAACCTTTAAAGCCACGGTACCTTTTATTCGGAATTAATGGTTTTAAAAGCAAGCTGTGGGAGTTAATAAACTGAGTGTCTGGCCACATTCGCAAATTAATAAAACAAGCCTTCTTGTGCAGGGATGAAACCAGAAGGTTTGTGTTTTTTAGCTGTTGACGTTGCAGGATATTTAATCACGCTCCTATGGTTTTTAGAGATTCTAAACATTTTCTACTGCTATGCGATCCAATGCAGCTGGTCATTCATCTTACAGTGAATGAGGTTTACAGGAGAACGCCACCTCTTAACCATAGTAAAGTAGGGAGCGAACATTGCGGATATTATTATTGACAGGATTACTCGCGAATCTACTCCACTTATCTACAGGAAAGAATCCGCAGATAATCACATAATCGGATGGGTTTGCCGATGAACTTGTATCCAGAAAAACGTTGTGAATACTTGGAAGCCATTGCAAAGCAGGATGGGAAAATGCATAGATAAGTGTAAAAACAGAATAGAGTCATGGATAACAAGTTTCCCTTTACTCAATGAACGAAAAAAGTCAAGAATAAAGATGTTATTTCTCTTTCATGTCATACAGTATCATGTAAATAATGTATTTCATAAGGACACTTCAAACGCTGCAAGCCATTTGTGGGCCTCACTATGATTTATACGAGCATTAACATATTCAATGGATTATCCTTTGTTGGCCATCATTGTGAGTCCACCCAATGGCCTGACCTGAATCCCAGTTTCCTGGCTACAATGTGGGTCCCGTTTCCACCACACAACACAATAACGAACATGATATACCACATTACCCAACGCACAGCTTGACTTTAACAACACCACCACGCTCTTACACCAAAACTGAATGCAACATGGACTTTTATCTTTATCCACGATCGTATCAGGCAGGGCAAACGCTGGGTTTGTTTGAAACGCAGTTAAAGTGTAAGTCTTCACAACTCAAACCAACATTTAACCGAACGTGAAACTTGACCTCATCTTACAATACGCTTTGTGTCAATCCCAAGCTTAACCAGAAACATTCCCATCACATAAACCTCATTCTGATCACTGCTAATCCCAGAGCATGATGCTCACCATAACTCCTAATGCAAATCTATCTCAATAAACAGCATACAAAATCACAAAACTCCATAATCTGAAATCATGTTATATCCAGTGCTGAATGAAGGCATTATCCAACCATCACTCTATTCTTCTAGCTCCACCACATGATCTTCACTCCATCTCCACGATGATCAACCTCGGGGTAAACCAAATTAAAACCTTACCTCCTCCTGAACCGCAATACAAACTCCCATAAAAATGTTAACCAAACCCAACATTTACTAATTCTGAATTCCAGACTCAAGCAGGTAGCCCATCACCCAACCTAACCCTGTCCTAAACAAACCCTGACCATCAACTCACCTAAAGCCATAGTACTGACTGTATAGCTTGAACGCTAACCACAAACCCAACTGTCCTGTTAACTCAATCCGTTTCATAACCGCAGCTAAACTCTAGCTTAGCACTAACGCAGATGTTAACTCAGCTAAACTCAAGCTTAGCACTAACACAGATGTTAACTCAGCTAAACGCGAGCCTAGCACTAACGCAGATGCTAACTCAGCTAAACTCGAGCTTAGCACTAACGCAGATGCTAACTCAGCTAAACTCAAGCTTAGCACTAACGCAGATGCTAACTCAGCTAAACTGGAGCCTAGTACTAACGCAGATGTTAACTCAGCTAAACTCAAGCTTAGCACTAACGCAGATGTTAACTCAGCTAAACGCTAGCTTAGTACTAACGCAGATGTTAACTCGGCTAAACTCGAGCCTAGCACTCGCTCAGATGTTAACTCAGCTAAACTCGAGCCTAGCACTAACGCAGATGCTAACTCAGCTAAACTCGAGCCTAGCACTAACGCAGATGTCAACTCAGCTAAACTCGAGCCAAGCACTAACGCAGATGTTAACTCAGCTAAACTCCAGCCTAGCACTAACGCAGATGTTAACTCGGCTAAACTCGAGCCTAGCACCCGCTCAGATGTTAACTCAGTTAAACTGGAGCCTAGCACTAACGCAGATGTTAACTCAGTTAAACTGGAGCCTAGTACTAACGCAGATGCTAACTCAGCTAAACTCGAGCCTAGAACTAACGCAGATGTCAACTCAGCTAAACTCGAGCCTAGCACTAACGCAGATGCTAACTCAGCTAAACTCAAGCTTAGCACTAACGCAGATGCTAACTCAGCTAAACTGGAGCCGAGTACTAACGCAGATGCTAACTCAGCTAAACTCAAGCTTAGCACTAACGCAGATGCTAACTCAGCTAAACTGGAGCCGAGTACTAACGCAGATGCTAACTCAGCCAAACTCAAGCTTAGCACTAACGCAGATGTTAACTCAGCTAAACTCGATCCTAGCACTAACGCAGATGCTAACTCAGCTAAACTGGAGCCGAGTACTAACGCAGATGCTAACTCAGCTAAACTCGAGCCGAGTACTAACGCAGATGCTAACTCAGCTAAACTCGAGCCTTGCACTAACGCAGATGTTAACTCAGCTAAACTCAAGCTTAGCACTAACGCAGATGTTAACTCAGCTAAACTCGAGCCTAGCACTCGCTCAGATGTTAACTCAGCTAAACTGGAGCCGAGTACTAACGCAGATGCTAACTCAGCTAAACTCGAGCCTAGCACTAACGCAGATGTCAACTCAGCTAAACTCGAGCCAAGCACTAACGCAGATGTTAACTCAGCTAAACTGGAGCCGAGTACTAACGCAGATGCTAACTCAGCTAAACTCGAGCCTAGCACTAACGCAGATGTTAACTCAGTTAAACTCGATCCTAGCACTAACGCAGATGTTAACTCAGCTAAACTGGAGCCGAGTACTAACGCAGATGCTAACTCAGCTAAACTGGAGCCTAGTACTAACGCAGATGCTAACTCAGCTAAACTCGAGCCTAGCACTAACGCAGATGTTAACTCAGTTAAACTGGAGTCTAGTACTAACGCAGATGCTAACTCAGCTAAACTCGAGCCTAGCACTAACGCAGATGCTAACTTAGCGAAACTGGAGCCTAGCACTAACGCAGATGCTAACTCATCACCATTCAGAACACAGTGCAATGTTAATTTTGTTCATGAAAATAGTGACGAAAATAACTTCGACAAAGTGTTTTTTTTTTTCAATTAGCAACGGCTATGGATGACAATCACCAAGAGTGACATTCACCATGGACTATCCGCCGAAGGGCTAAGCATGATCGACTGATTTTAGAGATTAAATTAACAATATTCTTGGTTCTTTCGGTAAAGTCACGTAGAAGGGAACACAATAAAATAATCAAAATAGAAAACAATAAAATATAAAACTTTTTTTTAATTTTATTGTTTCCCTTCTACGTGATTTTACCGAAAGAACCAAGAATATGATCCCTACAGTCACGAAAGCTTTAAATCAAAATTAAATTAACAAGTAAGGAAATACAAACTACGATAACTTGGTAACGCTATTAAGACTGCATTTCACTGAAGGCCAAACTTGGCAATACAGTATATTAGCTATACAGTATATTCTTTTAAAAATAAGTTTCACATACTCTACATTGAATGTCTGACCGGATAGTATTGTTGAGAGGAATTTGCGTCCCCTTCACCAACACTGATTAATAACGAGGGCTCTTGCATTGTCTGCGCGATCAACGCGACTTTCGGGAAACGCCTAACTTAATCCGCGGACTAAAGACTGCGCCAACATCTTCAAAAGTCTGTTGCCGACTAAGAACGTGACTAAAGTAAAGACATTTTTTGACTAAACAACCAGTGCCCAAGTCGCTGCTGCTTGCCTCCGTCGCTATATTTGCACGGGGGAGGGAAATGACCACGTACCGTGTGGACGCCTTTGCCACGTGTGCACCTCCAGCAAGAAAAGCTCTCTGCCCCCAAGGCTCACTCACTCACGCCCACCCCCCCCTCTTAACCACCAATCGGCAGGCTGAGTCTCAGGGTTGTGTGTAAACCTGGAAATGTGAGCGTCAAAACCTCAAAATTCGCCGCCACCGTCATCATTATCAGCGGCCACGGTCGATCCACTGCTGGATGGAGGCAGCAACCAATCGGCCAGCGCCACTTAAATCACCCAGCGCTGTGCCCGAGCGTGATCGCTCCATCTCCCTCTTGTGGAAAGTGCTGATTTCTACTTCGTCAAATGTACTTCATCGCGTTATATAACGCAAACTCCGACTCGTGCGAGGAAGGTTAACGCCATAAAGCTTGGGGCTCTGTGGCCTTTAAAAAAATAAATACAGGGGCCACGATCATAACTCGAACTTAAGCCTTAATCTCAGTCTGATACTTCACAATAATGTTACACCTACCTTTCGTGCTAAGCCTATCTATAGACTTAACCGTAACGGTCAAGATAACCTTATTTCATAATACTAAATTTAGCTTTAGCGGTAAACAATCATAACTCGTCTTTATTCGGCCAAATAAACTAATAATATCTCTGAGCTTAACCCCAACATGTAATACGAACCATAACACCTTACCCTAACATTAGGTGCACTAAAAAGCGTAACCTTTATCAGCATCCCTTAATAATTGGCATAATTCAAACCAGAACAAAATCACAAGCTACATAGCAGAGGCAGGTCCACTTTAGTGTAATACCAATGAGCAAAAACCGAACCACAGTGTATGTTAACACAACCAACGACACGAAGGCCCTTAACAATCAAACCCACCAACCACAAACACACCAACGACGTGACCCCCAGATATAAACCACCACGTTCACCAACAATACCACTCACTTTCCAACGCATACAGACTTTCAAAGCAAAAATTACATTACAAAAAATCATAAATTGTATGAGGTGGCACGATTAGCTTTGAAAATGGGTATGCACTAAAGAAGGATTGAAAAATTGCAGCAAAGTCTTAAATCGATATGGTTGGCAAGTATACAAGACTTTAAAATCGCTAACCCAATCGGAGCTAACGCTATCAACGCAAGCAATGACAAAGGAATCCCTCATCACACAACCACACCGCCACCAGCAACACCCCCTCTCTTTCCAGAACAATGACAACCACCCCTACTGCCGACCTTACATCTCCGAGTGTCGTAAACACGTCCCGCGTGTCCCACCACGGCATTCGGTTGAGCAAATACTTAATTGCGAACATCCAGGGCTTAATTTAGGCGAGGTCTGCCCATGTCAGTCACCCAGAAAATAGGGCACGCCGCATCCAATATACCTACCTCTTGTTTTCACTATCAGACACGTGCCGACTATAAACCAGGACATTGAGAAATTAAGCAGTGCCTAACACCGCATTCACAAGTTCAGCTATGGAGATGATATCCGTGACCCTTCAGGATGACCTTGCCTCTTGCAATGGATCTCATTTCCCAATGAATGTCTGAGTATAGTTAGTGCGAGGCAATTATGGCTTGCCTTATTTCAATACAGTCTTGACCTTAACCTACCGAGGACACATTATATTGAGTTATATGCCTCTTGGTCTTATGATTAGGACTATGTTTGAAATTGGGGTCAGGGGTTCTGGGGCTAGGCCTGGATTTAGGTCTGGACTACAGTTGGGTTTAGAACTAGATACAGGATAGAGCTGCTATCGGTAATAGCTAAGGGTTCTTGATAGGAGCAGTGTATAAGGTTAAGTCTAGGATTGCGATTCGTTATTAATCAAGGGATAGGAATTATGACTTGAACATTATGTTATCGTTAGAACTATGGTTAGGTGGATAGAATTAGGCTTATCGTTAGTACAAGTGTTGGTGGGTGGGAGGGCAAAACACTGAGCTCGAATTCGGTTGAAGGCGAACTGTAGGTTGAGGGCCCGATATTGGGGTTAGAGTCGAGAGCAGAGGTAATGGTAGGTTTGGCACCGGGGCTATGGTTAGGGGGTAGTGTTGGAGTTAATTTGCCATTCGCTCTCATCCTTCACCTCCTAACAGAGCCACTTGTTGCTCCCACCCCCTGAGTGACAAGCCTCCTCCAACACCACCACCACCCAAAGACCCCACCCCATAGGCAGCAAAACGTGGCACAGGCAAAGCTGGGGTCATCCGACCCAAACCCTGACCTGGTGTCAGCCAGAGGCTACTTTTTTCCCTCTCCCCCCGTATGTGTGCGCCATGTGTATATCATCATCAGCAGCCCGGTTAAATACACTGCTGGATGAACGCATAAAAAAGCTGCCCATCCACCTCACAACCCTATAGTGTAATAATCCACCTGGTACCTGGGCACGAGCCGATTAAATCGCTCCATCTCCTCCGCGGACGTGCTTACGGAAGCGTTACTTTCCCTTGGCTGCCACTCTCTACCTACATTGTCTTCTACGCGCCGCAGTACCCAGTCTAACTCCCTTCATCTTCCTCACCTTCTGCAAATCCCTTCCCTCGACATATCGCTCACTATCTCCCACACACAACCATGACCCCCCCCCTCCTTCTGCATCTACAGCACGTTCTGTCGATACAACATTAAATATCTTCCTCCATCTCCCGAACTGCACAACCATTCCCTATGCACGCACACTCTATGTACCATTATGTGTGTGCATCTCTCTCTCTCACTACAAAGTCCTATCTTTTTCTCTCTCCCTCCTCTGCCCATCTCCTCCGCCTCTCTCCATCGTTCGCTGTAACCATGCCTTCTCTGCATCTCTCAACATTTCCAGCACCATCATCCGCTGGGCTCCTCTACAGTGTCTCACTATCTCACTTTAGATTATGCCAGCCCTCCCCTCGCTTTATACAAATGCGTTACTCCTATCCCCTGCCCGGTCCCCTTTAGCCACATCTTATGCAACTCTTCCCTTGTTAAACAAACATCTTATATCTCCTACCTCATGTCCCTTACCTGGAAGGGCCTGGTTTTACTCCCACCTATGAGCTTCCTTGCCTGCACAAACCTGCACTGACAGGCGTGGTGAAGTATGGTCAACCACCCCACTGCCTCTCCCCCCCCCCCACACTCACAACTAATACAGGCATCATCCAGCAGTGGATTTCCCCCCCAAAAAAACCCCGTCGTGTATTATTACTTCCACAGCAACAGACAACCCAACCCCACTGCGGTATGGCAGACAGTGTAATGCAGTATATACACGGCGAATAACTCGTGCGACACACTGAACGCGGAGGAAACTAAATCCATCGACGCGTCGCCTAATCGATTTACAGGTAACATTGATGATCGAAAAGGTCACTCGGGCAAACATCCACCAAAGTCGACCGATGGTTCGAACGGTACACACACGTTGCGTACACGCTGCACGTTACTCCCGGTCCACCCCCACACCACCACCACCACAACAGCTGCAGCAGCCACAGAAAGGGGGGCACAATTTCGCGACGATGTCAATGACAACGAACGCAGGCCAAGAGGGACTGTGTTGTGCAGGAGGGGGGTGTCGACGACATCGAGACGAATGTAGTGGCGAGACGAACACGGATTTCACCCCAAACCCTTCCCCCCGACTTTGCAAACAACAGAGCCGCTTGCTTGCTGGGCTGGTGGCTTCGTGGGTCGCCGTGATAAAGCAGAGACAGTAGCAGCAGCGGGGCCCGTGCCCAAGAGCAATTAGACGGCACTACAACTCCACACATTCACACGTGCGAGTACACTCCCAGGGCCACACACTAGGTACAATGCCGCAAGACGAGACGCGGCGTTTGTACTCTCACACAGAGGCAGAGAGACGTGGCCGATGGCTGTTACAAAACTAGCTCCGGCCAAACACCATCATCATCACCACCACCATCATCTTCTTCTTCACCGCACCAGTCAATGCCCCGCGTACAACAACCAAATCCCTGTTGTGTGTGGTGTGCGCGTGTGTCTCTCTCACCTTCATGGCCTTGTTGAGGTGCAAGGTAAGAAGAAGGGGAGGGGGAGAACACGCGCACCACTGGGAAGATGGACCGTGGTTAGAGACGCAGAAGGTGATGGTGGAGAGATGGTGCGAGATGAGAGAGAGACAGCCAGCCGAGAGCAAGCAGGAGAAGTAGGAGAGGGACCCCCCCTAGTCTTCACTGCACCGAGCTTGCTTTGCCTACGCCACCGCCGCCGCCGCTGCTGCTGCTGCCTACGTGGCCAGGCGGGGGGTGGGGGTGTGACGTCGTCAGTGTGTTTACAGCGGCGGTGGTGGTTGGTGGTGGCAGTAGCAGCAACACGTGCGGGCGAGAGGCATTGATGTGTATTTATAGTGGAGGGATCCGATGAGCTATGAAGCTCTTTTCCACCCCCCACCCCCGCAGATGTCCAGTTTAGGAGGAGGGGGGGGGCACGGGAGGGTCAGAACGTTCAAGAAACAATACAAAAAAACGCGATAGGAGTGCAAAGTGTGGGGAATGTAAACGCATCACTTTAAAAAAATATATACACAAATAAAACCATACAATTGTTTGTATCTTACCAGGGCAAAGCCCACTGAGCTAATGAGCTTGCTTTTCAGAAGCGACCTGGCGACAAATGATGGATTTTTGCGTAGAAATTTCTCGCAGCAAAAGAATAAAAATAATCTCACCCACCCAACTCCCTCTTCCTCATTCTCGTCATGAGACGGCCTCCACTGCTGGGGTGGATGTTTTAGCATTCATCGTCAGCTGTGATGTACGGTGCTATTTCAGGGATATTTTGATAGTTTTTTCCTGGATTTTCTGTTTGCACAGTCACATAGTCACTTTAAGATGTTTTTCTTGTTCGTGTTTTTTGTTTGTTGCGGTTCCACCCGATCCAAGAACCGAATGGCTCACAGGGCTATACCAAATAAATTGAACTAAAAAAACACTAAACTCCACTGCAGAGTGGACGTTTGGGCATATTTTTCATAAGTCATGGTCTATCCACTGTTAGGTGGATTAATATCCACAGTTTATATGGCTTCAGTTGATGTGCAGTGGATAAATAACTTCACTGCCTTCAATTAATTGTTGGAGCTCACATTGGTTCACTACTGCATGGTCTCACATAGTGACCCCTATACGTATAGACTTCTAAAGGGACCCAAAGACCCACAAGCTCACGTAGAATTCACAATGGCTCACGACCATGTGGCCATCGGCGTGGTCATTGTTTCTGCAATCGCACACCAGGCTTGCTTTGAATTTATATTTGTGGAGGTCGTATTGGGCTGATCCGCCGTGAGACATGCAGATTGTATTTAATACGGACCATTGTTTTGTGACAAAGGTTTACTCCCCCTGTGAATTAATTTTGGTCCATAGTCTATTGATCTTGCCATATTTACACTGCACACTCTCAGTTTGGTGATGGAAATGAGATGTGGAGAGGGAGGCAGGATCAATGAAAACCTCAAAGGATCTACTTTGACACGAATGAACTTCAATGTTATGAAGGGTAATATTTTACAAATGCAGGAATTATATAGTTTTTTCGTCTGGGAAACAAACATTTCCACTGCTTAGGTTTTCTCAGTTATGCTGTATATCTCTCCGATATTTTTTCAGCTTTGTACCACGTGTTGTTCGGCACGATGCCCGACGTTTCGCTCGACGTGCTGGAAGATTCGCCAGGAACTGAAGATTATTCTGGAATTGAAGCTCCTCAATTCCATACATTTAATTTACAGTTCTTTGTCAATCTGCTGGTCGATAAAAGCCTCATGCCATCTTCGTCGTAGAGATTTTTTGACATTGGTCAGAGCTGGTTGATGAACAGAAGGTCCAAGAACGGTTCAAATATATACTCTTTGGTTTTTTCGGTAAAGTCACGTAGGTAAAATAAAATAAAACTAAATTACTTGACACAGATATTCTGCTGTGACTATTCCACCTGAAGACGGAAGCTTGTGTTGCCTCCGAAACGTCGTGATTTAATTTAGTTGTTTTATTTTATTTTACCTACGTGACTTTACCGAAAAAACCAAAGAGTAAGAATCCTTGCAGTCACGAAAGCTTCAAATCTAGGTTCAAATACAATTTACCATCGATGTTAAACTGTGGCTCGGAATTTCACTCAGATCGCTAGGCTCATAGCGTACTGTACAAACCACTGCCACCATTCTCCCATCTTCCACATTAGGCAGCGATTATAATTATGTGTACGTAACTGTTGTGTAAATATTTAAGTGTATGTTCAAGTGTAAACATATGCGTGCAGTATCCTTCAATAACCCTCTCGCTATGGTAGGGTGTGACAGTGACATCAGGGAAAATGCTAAGATTAGTTGGTCCAACCTTGGGCTGTAAGGTCACACCTCTCATGGCGAGTGAACGGAGGGGCCATTTGTGGATATTTATTTTCGTTTTCCCCAAATAACATTCGAGCTGCGTTATGTCTTGATATGAAGACGTTTGTATTTGGAACTCCGCAGCGAACAGTGCATCACACTGTCAGAGAAATGTCTGGCAAGACGCTGTCGAATATCGAGTTGTGCATTCCCATTACAGATCTCTTTTTCTCACAATAGACACATTTAATGCATTGCGAAAACTTCCTGTTGCTTATGAAGATAAATATGCCTTAAATCAGTGAAAAAGTGTGTTGATTGCTCTCTTCAACAGCAGCCTGATGCCTTTTGCCTATTTGCTTTTTTATTCTTCATTTTGTGATATAATAAACATTGCTTTTGAATATTTCCATTTCTCTTTCCGAGTCAATAAAAAAAGAACATCAATGATTGTTTCGATATTTTAGTGTAAATCGATGTTTTCTTTCAAACCACGAAGTACGTAGTCTTACGAACTCCCATCCCCACTCCAATCGCTCGTTCACCGGCGACCAGTCGCCTCCACATCACTCTTCTCTCGCTACTACCATGATTTGAGTTCCCGTGCACGTCACATTTCATTATCATCCCATGTTGTTGAGGACTCGGGTCTACCAGACTTGGCTGTTGCCTCTGATCCACGCGTTTCCACCACGCTGCTGGTCACAACACACTCTCATACCTGTCAGCCACTGATCAGTGCCTAACTTATTACAGACCAATTTAGATCTTAATTGGTCACCCCGTGACCCTATACATCTCAACGTTCATCCTACCAAGTGCCATCACAAGGTAGAAACACAGACAAATGTGGTTTTGGCCGTATTGAAACGGGTGTACGCCGTATGGACCTGAAAACTCAATTTCCCTGTACAAGAATGCGGGGTAAACCGTGATGGGTTGACAGGTTTACACTCACTAGCCACATTGCAGATCACAGCACTTCTCCATCCGCTTGTTCCATAGCGCTGCTCCCACGTTTAGAACTACGTCCTATCGTGTTTTCGCCATGCTTTTACAACCTTGCACGATTCAAGAAAGATGTCACATGACTCCATCTATTAAAATTTTCATCATCGTACTACGAAGAAGGGCGTTTGTCCGAAACGTCGCATTATCTATGCCTTTTAAAGCAGCACGTGTTATTGACGATTGGTGTTGATTTGTTTTGGTGCGTGCGTTTAAATTTGCCTTTGTGCACACACCGCCAAAGCAGCAATCGCCCCCCCCCCCCAAAAAAAAGCGTCTTCGTAAAATTAGTGATAGTGCTGTTCGTCGCTAGCCGCTTTGACGTTTCGGGGCCTTTGTGTGTGTGTACAGAGGGACGCGCTTGCTCAGGCTCAGGGAGGCGGCTCCGTTGTGGCTGTGAGAGAGAGCGCGCGCGCCTTCGGATGTCCACATTGGCCCTTCGTCGGCTCGTTTCTCAGTCCGCCAGTCCTCGTGAGGGTCGCGGCGGCGGCGGCGGCGTGTTGATGAGTCGTGGCGGTCCCAGAGCGCCCTTTCCCCGGCGACAGATACCGACAGCCTTTGCCCCCTTTTAACAACACAAAGCGAACGAGGGGATGCGGCTTCCCTCGGTAAAATGGCGGAAGGGGTTAGGGCGTGGGGGCGGAGCCGAGTGCGAGGGGGCGGGGCCGAGCGGGGGGGAGGGGCACGTGAGGTCATCGGCGCGCGACCGCGTGCTGTAGTGGCGCGCTGCACACGTGGAGTGGTGGTGCGGTGTGTCGGAGAGGTGGAGTGAGTGTTGGGTGTCTGTGTAGGGTGGTGTGTACAAGAGGAGTGTGTAGAGTGGAGTATATATAGGGGGGGCGGTGTGGAGAAGCGGTAGTGCAACGGTTAAGCCGCGCCGCGCAACTACGAAGAACTCGGCCAACAACGCAAGTTCGCTTCCCGCTCACGGCCAACGTCAGGTCACATAGGTGCCCGCTTACAGCACTTGCCCCAATCGTCTTAATATGGTTATACGGGGGATCTTTGGAGCGGGCGGGCGGGCGGGGGGTCTAGAGTAATGTTTAGAGTGGTGTGTGTACAGCATTGTGGGGAGTGCATAGATTGTGGCGTGTACTGTAGTGTCTATAGTGTGTTGTAAACAGTGAGAGTTGGATGCATAATGGTGTGTGCTGCAGAGTGGAGCAATTTGTGTGATGGAGCGATTTCATATCTTGTAGTGGTGGTGTTTATGTTAGTATCCTGTAGTATGGCGTGTTATAGAGACGTGTTTAATTGTAGTGGTGTGGTACAGAGTGGCGTGGAGTTCGGTAGGGTGGCATGCTCAGAACAAGGACCATTGCTTGAAACGTCACCTTATTTTTAACGTACAGCATATGTTGCAAGACAATGCTATTGACTTGTGTTTTTTTATGTGAAGTTTACATTCATGAGTGTACTTGCCTTATGGACACAAAGGTGTCCATATGTAATTTAGAAGGGACTTTTCGTGTGGCGCACAGTGTAACGTCGCATATCCGACCGTCACGTATCCGCCCTGACACAATAAGCCACCAACACCCAGTCTCTATATGTCTACATGGTGTTGCTGGCATTTCCTATCGATGTTCACGTATCCGCCTGATACCTCAGTTCCTCCAGCGAGTCGGATATGCGACGTTCCACTGAAATAGCACGCTGCTGTTCATTGTTGAGGATACTGTAGATGTCAGCGCAACGTGGTGGCACGGTGGTTGGGCGTTCGCAAAGTCGCGAGTTTAAATCCTGCTTGGAGGTTGACAACCCATCATTCAATCGGGGGTCGATAAAATATGTACCGCTGTGGGTAAGCGGTTATATATGTATGGAGAAACGCCCTTGACGTCAAAGTACTGGGGATTTTACATGGTTGATTCATGGCTGTGAATGCATACCTGTCAACTCCTTATCAGAAGCCTAAGTTATTACAGACCAATTCAGACCTTTTAGGTCACCCCGTGCCCTTATACATCTCAACGTTCATCCTACAAAGCTCCATCACAAGAGAGAAACACAAACAAATAGACACGAACATTTTTGCCCGTATTGAAACGGCTGCACGCCGTACGGACCTGCAAACTCAATGTCCCTGTACAAGTACACGGAGTAAAACCGTATGTGTTGACAGCTGTGTGAACCGGAGATGAGCGCTAGCTCTCAACTGAGAAGTGAACTCGCGTTGTTGGTGTCGCCGTTGCAGTGACCTTGGCGTGAGCCCAGCAGCATGGAGTATTTCGAGGAAGATTTTGCCAAGCTGACATCGGAGCAACTTACAGCACCCATCAGGACCATTGAGGTGGGCAGGATCCGTGGATAACGCTTCCGCGGTTGTGCTGCACAGCGCTTAGCCCGCAACCTCTGTTCCCATTCCACCGCGCTCGTATTCGAGCTCGCTCGATCGTTCACGACACAACGAACCATAAACTCACCTTTGGTCTGGGTTGGGTGGTTGGGTTTGTAGGGGGGTGGGTGGCGGGGGGCAGCTGTCTGCTGCTGTATTGCGCCGCAATCGATGGAGAGGGGGGGTGGATGGGTGGGGAGGGGCTGGATCAGACACTGAATGGCACGGAGAGTTCATCTTGTCCGAGTTTGCTAACAGTGAAGTTCCAATGATTTTGTTTTTGTGGATCACCGCTGTACAGCACTCTGATGGGTGTTCGGGTTGTTGCCGCACATTGATTGGCGTGACATTTGACCTTTTCGTTTTGCGTGCTGGGAACTTATTCTGAAATGTAGTTGCTGAGCAACACAATGCACGGTACCAGTTGATTGTTAAACCAATGCGACTGTGCTAGATGCCATCTGTATGAAATTCGTATCAATATTCATAACTTTTGGAATGGTTTTTTTTTGTATTCCAAACATAATACTTTCCTGAGAGGCTCGGTGAACCAGTGTAATGTTACATTGCTACTTGGAAACATGAATCGTCTCTGCCTGTTGATGGGTTTTGCCAGTTCAGTTTAACAAACGCTACCTGTTTTAATGTAAAACGTGTAGAGCTGTCAAATGAATTCTGGCCGAAGGCCTCTCCATTTCGTGATGGTGATCGATATCCCACCTTGCTGATCAGTGCAGAAAATGGTGAAGGGTGAAGAGCTCAGGACCAGTTCAGATATCATTCAACACTGATTTTACCAGTAGCCTAGAATCTAACCAAGGTCGAAATATTCATAGTGCAGTGTGCTAACCACTATGCCACCGCTCTACCCCATGGTTTTTATATTGCAGCATGTTTCGCCAAAGCAGTACAGCTATTTTTTAGTATGTAATGAATTGTATACTAACAGTTAACATTTGCCTTGACAGGACAAATGGAAACTTCTTCCAGCATTCTTGAAGGTATGCAGATCTAAAATCCTGCACATTCATAAATACATATACTTATTCAATATTGTCTGACCTCCCGAACCACGTAATATAAATGCGGTCTGGAGCATGTAAAGTCACATATGATGCTCCTCTTACTTTTGTGTGCAATTGCCACGTGTCCTGAGACGATGCGTCGTGTAGGAATCTTTCCGTAGAGTGAAATAAATTGACCGTGGAAAGCTTTGCATGAGTGATGTTGCTCATGTGCCTGTTCCGCATGACACATAGCGGACTTCGCATACAGAGGGCACAGCGAGTTCCTTGTGTTCGCGGCATAATAGGCTTTGTAGTAAAACACATTTTGTTCGCCTTGTTTCCACCGTGAAGATATGTGGTTGCCTTATCAATTTCTGGGTATTTTTTTTACCTGGTCTGGGTTAAAGAAATGTGTCATGTCTGCAGGTGAAGGGTTTGGTGAAGCAGCACATAGACTCCTTCAACTACTTCATCAATGTGGAGGTGGGTGCATTATTTCAGACAGCATGTATTTAACAGTAGCACCTACCTATCCATGATACCTATCCATAATTGTAACACTTTTCTTTAACCAGCATTTACTCTAAACCTTTATCTAATCATACAATTCAACATACGAACGTGCCTAAGAAAGAAAGGTGACGTTTTCCTGGCCATGACCTTTTGACCCTAACCATCTTTGGTTTCACAATTGGTTCCGGTTCATCATCAGTAATGATCTGCCCATTGCTAGATTAAAGACTGCGCAAGTAGTCGCCATCACTAATGGCCACATGATGCAACATCCATCTAGCTCTTACACACGACGCCGATTTCATCGCTCTGCCTGTGGTAATCGTTCTCTTGAGCATGTTCCTGCCTTTGGCTGTCACTCCGACGTTAGTCTTGACCATCAGCCATCGTCCGTTACCAAGCCCACTTAATTTACTTGACAGCTAATAGAATAAATGTAATGTGCGTGTATTCTCTTAACCACGTGTCCTTCCTGTCTCCGTATAATTCAAAGCATCCACCTCTCCATGCTTCCTTTTGCACTTTGCAAGTTTCCCCTGCACCTCCGATTAACGCAGTTGGCTACATACAGTGCGAAAAAGTTCAACATACATACAGACATTGTTGATGTGTGAGCCACAGTTCCGTGAATCTCCATCCTTTCCGACCGCCTTACGTAACCGTTCCTCTGTAAGATTTGCCGCCATCGCCTTAACAATATTCAACTACCTCTTTGAGAAGAAAGTCAAAGGGTCATCGGAAGTCAATGGGGTATTTGTAACTTATTGGATCACCATGCGTTTCCAGCTTTTCTCTGCTTACAAATCAGCCAAGGGGTTTCCTGCGGGCGAATCATGGACTCTTGCGCTCTCGTATGCAGATCAAGAAGATCATGATGGCCAATGAGAAGATCACGAGCGACGCTGACCCCATGTGGTATCTGAAGTAAGTCCCACTGTCGCGTTGGCCGTGAGATTTCTGACTCGCGATGTCTTCCATCTCATAACCTGGTTCCCCGCACCTCCGATTAGGACGGTTGGCTATGTACGGTGCGAAATAAGTTCAGCATGCATACAGGTTAAGTCTGCTCTCTTACCTCGTGTAGTAAATACATGCATTATGCTGATATTGTGAAACATGAGTAAACTTGCTACCCATCCCAGTGCAATAGAAGTTCAACATACACACATAAGAGGCAGTGACTCACCATCCGCCTCCTCGGAACAAGTCACTTGCCTGAGTAAATAATTAATTCAAACACTCCACTCTCCCCCATCACATTGAGTGGCAGGGTGGTTATTGTGAGGGTAGAGAAGTTTCCATACCTTGGCAATGTCTACGTGGCTGGATCTGGGCTGTCAACAGTCTGTACAAATTACAAACGCATGAGATAATTTTATCAGCTGCACATTGCTTACTGAGTAGCTCTACATTTGTTCTCCGCTTGGTTTATGCTCTCATTGCGACTGTGCACATGGATTGTCTGCATTTGCACCTATGCTGGCTTTAAACAGACTTGCCATTACTAAATCTAGCAATGTCCTGGTTTCGCCAGAGCTGTTCCAAGATTCAGGCATGCTGTCCTGGTGTTCCAAGGCATTTGTGAAAATTGATATCTAGTCTTGGTCAACTCATGATGTGGGAAACGGTGGGGATACCTGAGTAACGGTGGGGATACCTGAGTAATGGGAGAGGTTGGTAGCGGAATGGGTGGGGGCTGTGATCAGTGGGTGGGGGCCAATTGTCAGAGAGTGAGTCCACTCACTGGGTGGGTTTAGCGGTTCAGTGGGTGTGGCTTTGTAAAAGTGGGCGGGGTATACAGAGGAAGCGACTGCCAGCTCGACGGAAGTCCTGGTTGAACCTCCTAAACATTTGCTAGCCAATGCCCAACATGGGATTTCTGAGGTTGAAATGTGTAAGGTGTTCAAAGGCAAAATGAAAAATTGGGCAAAGTCACGCGAGTAGGTATATCCAGCGTGCGAGGCAACATTGTCCGGATCATGGAGCCTGGGTTCCTGTATAGATTATTACCAAGCAGCTTCTCTTTGGATGGAGAGGTCCAAACAAACACAGAATGTGTTCAAGAGCAGGCATATCTGTTCGATGCAGGAGGAACTAGAGCGGTATTTCTCAACTCCAGGCCTCAACAAACGTCACCGCGAGCAGTGGATCCCAAGCGCCGTTACGGTTGCGAGGCGTTTCTAACGGCACTCGCAGTGCCGGTCGGTACGGTATACGCGCGCTGTGCTTGTGTGCTGTCTGCATGCCAGGTACCTGAACATATACGTGGGAACGCCTGACGTGGAGGAGAGCTTCAACGTCACGAGGCCCGTGGCTCCTCACGAGGTCAGTGCGCTCGCGTGGAAGCAAACGGCAGCTCTGACACAATAATGCCCCGTTTGTACACGCACACAAACGCATTCAAACGCATGTATATTAATGTACAGATTTGCTAACCCATGTATTCATACATATATGCACACACACACACACAGTGTCGCTTAAGGGACATGACGTACTCTGCCCCCATCACGGTGGACATCGAGTATACGCGCGGGAACCAGAGAATCATCCGCAACGCCCTGCCCATTGGACGGTGGGTTCACCCGCGCACAGAAAATCAAGATTCCCGTATCGCCTTTAACGCACTGAAAGAGCAAGTGCAGTTCGTGAGCACCCATTAAGGGCCTGCACTGCGCACAAGACAGCCGTGTGACCAGAATCGCGCCTGGCCATCTTTTTCTCCGCATTGCCCATGTTTATACACCGCAAAAGGCAGCCAGAATTAGTTCCAACGTTTACCCAAGCTCTGTGATCCTATATTGGGATATTTGGCCAACTCCAAATTAAATAAACTTAGTAAGAAGCGGAATGGGGCCTGCAGAACCGCATGGAACATTGGGTGGGGGGGACCGATTCAACCCTAGAAATGGACTGGATTAGCCCAGTTCCCAACGGTTGTGGAAATGTAGCATAAGAACCCAGGTGTACACGTACTATGAACACGCTAACGTACCATATGTAGTCGGTGTACCTTGTTGTATTGTGTACCCTACTATACAGTGAGGGAAAAAAGTATTTGATCCCCTGCTGATTTTGTACGTTTGCCCACTGACAAAGAAATGATCAGTCTATAATTTTAATGTTAGGTTTATTTGAACAGTGAGAGAAAGAATAACAACATAAAAATCCAGAAAAACGCATGTCAAAAATTGTATAAATTGATGTGCATTTTAATGAGGGAAATAAGTATTTGACCCCCTCTCAATCAGAAATATTTCTGGCTACCAGGTGTCGTTTATACAGGTAACGAGCTGAGATTAGGAGCACACTCTTAAAGGGAGTGTTCCTAATCTCAGCTTGTTACCTGTATAAAAGACACCTGTCCAGAAAAGCAATCAATCAATCAGATTCCAAACTCTCCACCATGGCCAAGACCAAAGAGCTCTCCAAGGATGTCAGGGACAAGATTGTAGACCTACACAAGGCTGGAATGGGCTACAAGACCATTGCCAAGCAGCTTGGTGAGAAGGTGACAACAGTTGGTGCGATTATTCGCAAATGGAAGAAACACAAAAGAACTGTCAATTTCCCTTGGCCTGGGGCTCCATGCAAGATCTCACCTCGTGGAGTTGCAATGATCATGAGAACGGTGAGGAATCAGCCCAGAACTACACGGGAGGATCTTGTCAATGATCTCAAGGCAGCTGGGACCATAGTCACCAAGAAAACAATTGGTAACACACTACGCCATGAAGGACTGAAATCTTGCAGCGCCCGCAAGGTCCCCCTGCTCAAGAAAGCACATATACATGCCCGTCTGAAGTTTGCCAATGAACATCTGAATGATTCAGAGGACAACTGAGTGAAAGTGTTGTGGTCAGATGAGACCAAAATGGAACTCTTTGGCATCAACTCAACTCGCCGTGTTTGGAGGAGGAGGAATGCTGCCTATGACCTCAAGAACACCATCCCCACCGTCATATATAGAGGTGGAAACATTATGCTTTGGGGGTGTTTTTCTGCTAAGGAGACAGGACAACTTCACCGCATCAAAGGGACGATGGACGGGGCCATGTACCATCAAATCTTGGGTGAGAACCTCCTTCCCTCAGCCAGGGCATTGAAAATGGATCGTGGATGGGTGTTCCAGCATGACAATGACCCAAAACACATGGCCAAGGCAACAAAGGAGTGGCTCAAGAAGAAGCACATTAAGGTTCTGAAGTGGCCTAGCCAGTCTCCAGACCTTAATCCCATAGAAAATCTGTGAAGAGAGCTGAAGGTTCGAGTTGCCAAACGTCAGCCTCGAAACCTTAATGACTTGGAGAAGATCTGCAAAGAGGAGTGGGACAAAATCCCTCCTGAGATGTGTGCAAACCTGGTGGCCAACTACAAGAAACGTCTGACCTCTGTGATTGCCAACAAGGGTTTTGCCACCAAGTACTAAGTCATGTTTTGCAGATGGGTCAAATACTTATTTCCCTCATTAAAATGCAAATCAATTTATAACATTTTTGACATGCGTTTTCTGGATTTTTTTGTTGTTATTCTCGCTCACTGTTCAAATAAACCTACCATTAAAATTATAGACTGATCATTTCTTTGTCAGTGGGCAAACGTACAAAATCAGCAGGGGATCAAATACTTTTTTCTCTCACTGTATAACCCCGGGTAGAGGTTTGCTCTGGTCACTATGCACCATGCACATGCATATGCCACGTGAGTGCCACGCACACGTTTGTACAACCCTATGCTCTGCGTGCATGGTCTGTGCCGGCATACCCCATGTGTTTGCCACATGTGTGCCTGCGCGCGTCTGCGTTTTTGCGTATGCTATGCGCACTCGGGCTATGCGGCAATCACCACTTGTGTGCCGTGTGTGCTGCATGTGTGCTTTGTGCGTGTGTAGGATGCCTATTATGTTGAGAAGCTCGAACTGCGTGCTGACGGGGAAGACTCCTGCCGAGATGGCCAAGCTCAATGAGTGCCCACTGGACCCGGGTGCGTGTGTTTTTGTGCGCACAATAGTTGTGTGTGTGTGTGTGGTGAATGTGTGTGTTAGAATGTATAGGTCGACTTAGCCTCAAATGAGTACCTGGCACAATGTGTAAACATAGCCATTAGGGAGACAAAGGCAGCCAGGCATGGTGCTGGCCACCCACCTCTTAGTGTGCCGTTCCGGCCTTCATAGGTGCTCCCTAACAGCACTTGCCCGAACAGTCTCCATGGGCTACACAGGGGATATTTGTCTTTGCAGGAGGGTACTTTGTGGTGCGCGGCGTCGAGAAGGTGTGCCTCATCCAGGAGCAGCTCTCAAAGAACCGCATCATCGTGGACATCGACCGCAAGGGCAACGTGGGGGCATCGGTCACCAGGTCAGGGGGCAGGGGGTGTCAGGATCATTTCTGGACCAGAGGCCAGTTTCATCGGTATGTTTGTATAAATCGTGCGTCCAATCTTTTGACGGCGCTGGTTGTGTTTCTTTGGCTGCGGTTGCCCCCCAGCTCGACGCACGAGAAGAAATCTCGCACGAACCTCGTGATGAAGCAGGGCCGCTTCTACATGAAGCACAACACCCTGGCCGAGGACATCCCCGTCGCCATCATCCTGAAGGTGACGCAGCCACAGCAGCAGCAGCAGCGACGCAGCGTGACATGGCGGAACCCGGCGACGTTACACCACGCTGCATCGGGTCGTGGACCCACGGGTGAACCCTTCAGTGTCCTAATGGGGGGTGACCTGTGGGTGTGCGAGGATGGTGCTGGCTGCATTCGGGTTGGTGACGGCATTAGTTGCGATGTCTCACCTAACAGAGTGGGCCTCGTGAAGGCTGATATCTTCCACTCAACATCAGCCATACGAAAGAGGAACACTAACAGCACATCCTGTTGTGCATTTTTTTTATTAGTGTTCTACTTTTTCACCCAGGAAAACCTCACCGAGTCTCATGACTCTTTTTACAGGAAATTTTGCCAAGTTTTTTTTTCAGTAGGGGGCGATGTTGTTAAATATATAATCCCAATTGAATGATTTGCACGGAATTTTGTCAAATTTGGATCACGACGCTAGCACGCAATGGCGAACTCTGGCGAATTGCGTCACAGGATTTTATAGCGTCCACTGTGAGTTAAGAAGATGGCGTGGAATATGTGATGGTTAATATAACCATAGTAATGTCCAGGGCGGCTGTTGGATTTGGTACTATGAACCTCTGCAACAAGTGGGTGCCACTGTGGTGAGATGTTAACTACCTCCCCTGGTATACAGGAGGTCGTGGGTTTGATCCCGACTCTTAACATCTGTACATTTGGAGTTTACATATTCTCCCCGTGGTCACGTGGATTTTACCCCGGGTCCTCCGGTTTCTCCCTCCACATTTGGAAACATGCGTTTAGAGTATTTGGCTGCTATAATTTTCCACTTGAAAAGCCACTTCGTTGAGCTATCATTTGTGACCAGGTCGCTTCTGAAAAAGTGCTACATAGCTCATTGGGCCTTACCTGGTAAAATAAAAAATAATTTAGTTTACTTTAAGAGGTGAACATGCTGCCGCTAGGACATCCCCCTGCCCATTTATGGATAATGTGTGTGCCACCATGCCTCGCAGGCCATGGGTGTGGAGTGTGACCAGGACATTGTGCAGATGATCGGCACGGAGGAGCGCGTCATGGCTGCGTTTTCCCCCAGCCTGGAGGAGTGCCAGAAGGCACAGGTCTTTACTCAGCTGCAGGTGAGGATCACTCGCCCTATCCTCAGCTCTCTTCCACTGCTCACCATCCACTCTACTTCACCACCTGATCTCACCACCTCGTTCACTCACCTCTCCAGAAGCTCAACATCTCTCCACACACCCACTCTCCATCCCACCTCTTTTCAGCCCTCCAAGTATGTCTTCTTTTGTCTCTTTTTGTCTTCTCCAACCTCGTCTTGTCTTATTCTGACGAACACAATGAACCCTGTTAACTGACCCTGTCCCTCACAAGTTCTCCCCTCCCCTTATCTACCTCTGCATCTCTCTGCCCTTCTGTCTCACCATATTGCTCATCTCTCTATCCTCCCTCTCCATTTCTAATTTCTTACTCAGCATCACACTTATTCTTACACGTCTTCTCTTCTATCACCCTCTCTATTGTTCTTTCCACTTCTCTCCAATCTCTCTCTCACCCTCATTCCCTCTTTAAGTTTCTCTTTGTTTCCTGATCGATGTCGTGAACTCTCTTCATAACGTACCTCCCATCTCTCTGTCTCTCCCTTCTACTGCCATCGTCATCTCCATCTGTCTCAACGTATTTTTCTTTCCACGTCTTTCCCTCCTCCTGTCCCTCAGTCTCCTCCTGCCGCCATCTCCCTCCCCCTTGCTTCCCCTCCCAGGCGCTGCGCTACGTTGGTAACAAGGTGCGGAGGCAGCGCATGTGGGGCGGCCCCAAGAAATCTAAGATGGACGAGGCACGGGAGCTCCTGGCGACCACCGTGCTGGCGCACGTGCCGGTATTCACATGGGGAGAGAGACCCCCCCCCCCCTTGTAAAGTGCCACCGTCGCGGATAATCGAACGATTCCTTTAGTCCTGGTTCAAGTGAACCCGGACGGCGTTGTTTTATCCGCAAATAGTTTTACGGATAATCGGCTCAAAAGATTTTTACAGCACCGTCGCAAGCATTGGATGTGGGTTTAATTGATTAGAATTTTCTCACGTGAATATACTAAACCGTGAATTGTCTCCTATCCGCATTGATATGGGCAGCTCTACTGCAGGATCCTGTGGGCTGCATTTATTTGTGCACACTGCTCCTGTTGTTTTCCTTGCAGATATACAGGAGTAATAGGATGCATTTGCCACGTTTCAGATCAGTCCTCTTATCTGGGGATAAAAGTGGAGAATGAGACGAACTTTGTGCCTCTGCAAGACTATATCCCAGCGGTTACACATTTGCGGATAAACGCATTTCATCAAAAGGATTTGCTGCCATTCCTGGGCGACCCCTCCTTCCCTGAGGCTAGAATAATGAATTGAGCGCTTCTTCTGCTACGCCACTGGCGTCACCACCACCGTCCCATTGAGTGAGTCCCGGTTCCGCCGCAGGTGAAGGAGTTCAACTTCCGGCCCAAGTGCGTGTACGTGGCCGTGATGGTGCGGCGCATCATCCTGGCGCAGGGAGACAACCGCGTCGACGACCGCGATTACTACGGCAACAAAAGGCTCGAGCTTGCCGGGCAGGCGAGACCCACACCAGGCCCGCAACAACCACACCTAGCGCAGCTCTCATAATGGGCCTTAGGGTTGTTAATGTACTTATTGAATTTTCAGTAACAGTAAAAACAAAAGTGATTATGGACTCGAAACGGTCGTGAAATCGGAGGTCAAATTGCATTCAGTTTTATTGGCGGTCGAATCGATTGGCACACACAAGAATGTTCAAACCGTATGGAACGTTCCAATGTGATTTTATCATTACACTGCTGGATAAAGTCCTCAGCCCACCGTGTTGACGTTTGGGCTTCTTTGACACAACTCTTCCACACTAGGCAGAGTCGATGGGTGATTTTTGGTTAACCAATAATATTTTTTCAAAATATGTTTTGCATACCATTATTGCTTACGCTCAAATAACTTGTAATGGAATAAAACGGCCTAGCATTAAACTGGGCCTCAACCCGGTTTTCCTTAAAAATTGTAAGTTACATAACAGAAATCTAGTCAGGGCCCAGCACAGCCTAACCATTAACCAGGCCCGATTTAGCATTGTCATAAACCAATCTTGAATCTACCCTATGCATCTAGTAGGTTCTACATTAATTAATCCATTGCTTTCACCCAGGTATAATCCCAACTGCTAATAGACCTACTGTAGCTTAGCCTTTATTCAGCCTTTCCTCACCTAACCATCCCCCATTCCTAGCATAGCTTATTTGTAACTGTGCCTAACATAAATATGTTTTCCACGCAATACCTAACAGAGACCTAACATATTCTAGCACTCACTTTGGCTCTGTAATTCCTGTTGCTCTCCAAGGCCAAACATACCATATACCTATCTTGCGTCGAGCAATTGTGGGTACGTTCATAACCAAAAAGGCAATATTGGTGCAATCCCTTAAATTATGTACATTTTTGGTCTATGAATCTAAATCTGAGTGACCCAGCAGGTTGACTTTGCTTGCATCAGTGCACTGAACTAGTGCTCGTGAGATTTTGGCTTTACATTCCTAACTAGTAAACCCTGGTTGTGCGTGACACTCCGCTTGTTATCTGCCCTGCAGCTCCTTTCGCTCCTCTTCGAGGACCTCTTCAAGAAGTTCAACTCGGAGTTGAAGAAGATCGCCGACCAGACGATCCCCAAGCCGCGCGCCGCGCAGTTCGACATCGCCAAGCACATCCGCCAAGACCAGATCACCAACGGACTGGCCAACGCCATCTCCACGGTAGCCGGCCAAGCCAGTGGCGCCACATATCGACGTGTGTCCCTCTCTTGTTGGCCATTAGACGTGGTTCATCTACCATGTGCTCTTTTTTATCGGTGGCCTTGAAGCAGTATAGCCATACGATCACTGTGTTCGCCCTTTCCCGTTCCAAGATGTCCGCGAGTTGCAGGCTGGTTCCCGTTCACCGCTGAATCTCGGAACGCACAAGCTGTTAGCGTCGATTTTATTTAGAGAGGTGCAGCACTGCTACACATGACCGCACTCCACGATAGCTGGCGCCAAACTGTGCCACACGCCCTTGTGGGGGCTAATGTCCCCCCCCACTCCCCACTATGTGGGGGCCGATCCCCCCTCACCCACCATGGGCGGGAGGGGCGCCACATCTACTTGGTGGGGGCTGATGCCCTCCCCCCCACCCGCCATTGGGGGGGGGTCACTCACCTCCTCCCCCTCCTCGCGTGGGGGGGGGGGGTGTTTCCCTCCTCCCCCCGTCCCCTCCGCATTTGTGTCACTCGTGCCCCCCGCCCCATCGATCGGGTGACCCCCCCTCCCCCGCATCAGCGTCCTCTGACCGACATAGCTAGCGGCTGGCCGACACCGCCTAGGGGTTGATTACGCGCGTGCCCTCCCCCACTCGCGCGTCCTAACCACGTGGATTACGTAATTGTTTGACTCGCCGCTGTGTGGGGTTTAATTAATAATTTCCACTAAGCCGTTGTGTCAACAAGGCAAACGCTCCCGCGCGGTCCGGATATTAATAAATAAATCGCCACTCACGCGGCCCCCCCCACCCATCGCGTTTTCTCCGCGCGACACTCGCGCGTGTCTCACCGTCAACACTGCGGTGCGCGCATATAGACACACGTGACACTCGCGTGTGTCTCACCGTTAACATTGCGGTGCGCACATAGACACTAGTGACACTCACGCGTGTCTCACCGTTAACACCGCGGTGTGCACACAGACACTAGTGACACTCGCGTGTGTCTCACCGTCAACACCGCGGTGCGCACATAGACACACGTGACACTCGCGTGTGTCTCACCGTCAACACTGTGGTGCACACACAGACACACGTGACACTCACGCGTGTCTCACCGTTAACACTGCGGTGCGCACATAGACGCGCGCCGGCGTGGGCCACCGTTGGTATTTTAATATGCGCGAGCGTCACCCCCACACTGAGTTATAGTCACCCACACACCGTCGTATGCCGATCGCTGTCCCACCGCTCTTCACACGCACACATGCACCACGCGTCACAACGTCAGTCTGTGCTACGATTTATTTCCAGGAGCGAATAGGGACCCCTGTTTATGGCCCCCTCCAGCCAGCACCCTTCGGAGAGCGCCTAACCTCCTATCACCTGGCCGTCGCAGAGTGCGTCTATCCCCCAAGCTCGAGCTGACTGCGAGCTGGGCTGAATTGGCCCTTGGGGACGTTTTCTGGCCGATCGTTTCCAGCTCCACCCTGCATATGTCGCACGGACGCTGAGGATGGCTGGTCTCTTCCACCGCTCCAGAAGAACTCGGATCCAATTTTCCCTCCTTCCCCCCTTATGTTCCCAAAGGCCGTTAATCCCCGGGTCATATGACGTCATCCTGCGCGTCCAATCGAATCCTCGTTGCGGCCGTTTTGAGCGCTCTGGCCGTTGGGTGGGGGGGGGGGTCACTTCATCCCCCCCTGTCCATTGTCTCTGTACCTGCGTTTCCCGCCGGTGACTCACCGATAATCCCCTCGGGCCCTCTCTCTTAAATCCTCCTATATGCCTAGGGGCTTTTCCCTCCCACCCCACTGTTTACACTGCCGCAGGGTGCTTGCCTTGGGGTACCATCCCCCGTGCTGTGTATGCTTCAACGCGGCCGGCCTGGAAAGCTCTATGCCCCCTTTTAGGGGGCGGCCGCCATGTAATTCGGTCTGGGGGGCTCAGCCAATTTCCTGGTCCGGGGAAACCGTGGAACGTCCCTGTTAATGGGGTCCTCGGGTGAAAACCCATCGCACCAGGTGATCCCTCCTCGAGACCCTACGGGGGTGCATGTGAGTGTTTAGTGGGGCGTGCGTGCGTTGGGGGGGGGGGGTGCAAGGAGAGGGTAGCGCCAGCCGAGCTGCTCCGCTGCTGTGGCACCACACCCTCCCACATGGCCTTTTACTTACGACTCTGTTTGGAATGGATTGAATCCGTTCGGAAGCGATTCCGTTCCAATGACATACACGTACGTATGTCATCGGAACGGGAAAGGTTAACTCTGCACAAAGTGGTACCTCTTTTATCACCCTCAAATGGATGATGGACTCAGTAGGCCCCAAACCGGTATTTTAACTTACTATAGGCAGAGAAATGGGCAGATAAAGGACAAAAGTTTTGAGCCTGAACTAGAACAGGGGCAGGGAATCATTGGCAAGGATCGCTCTGAGCGTTGAGACAGGGGACAGCCGAGAATGGGTGACCTCTACTGCTGCCATTACCTGGAGTTCCAAACGACGGGGGGAACACCTGTGGAGGCAGCCTATGCAGGCCAATCAGGGGAAGCCTGTGTTGTGTGTGCAGGGCAACTGGTCCCTGAAGCGCTTCAAGATGGAGCGGCAGGGAGTGACTCAGGTGCTGTCGCGCCTCTCCTACATCTCGGCGCTGGGCATGATGACGCGCATCTCCTCGCAGTTCGAGAAGACGCGCAAAGTGAGCGGCCCGCGCTCTCTGCAGCCGTCGCAGTGGGGGATGCTGTGCCCCTCCGACACCCCCGAGGGGGAGGTGAGCGATATGCGCCCGTCCGGCGAGCACGGCCACTGGCTGTGCAGACGTGACACGTGTGGGTGCACACGTGTGCACAGATTAAATATAACGTGTGTGTGTGCATGGGGACACGTGGGGAGCGGTAGTGTAGCGGCTAGTGCGCTGTGCTACGAACCCGGCGACCTGGATTCGATACCCGCTCGCGGCCAACACCGGTGACGATTTTCTGAACCGGTATGGGCCTCCCCTAGGTCGACTCAGCCTCAAATGAGTACCTGGTGCGGTGTGTTAACATCGACACTAGGGGAGGCAAGGTGGCCGGGTGTGGTGCTGGCCACCCACCCCCTCGTGTGCCGCGTCAGCCTTCATAGGTGCTCGCTAACACCACTTTCCCCAACAGTTTGTTAAGGCTATATGGGGGATCTTGATATTGTGTGTGTGTGTGTGCGCGATCATTCAGGCTTGCGGGCTTGTTAAGAACCTGGCATTAATGACCCACATAACGACGGACATGGAGGATGGGCCCATCCTCAAGCTGGCCTTCAACTTGGGCATTGAGGACCTGTCCTTGCTGTCGGGCGAGGAACTCAGCTACCCCAACACCTACCTCGTGTTCCTCAACGGTGTGTGTGTGTTTGTTGGGGAGTGGTGGCGTAGTGGTTAGAGCACTGCACTATTTCTTTGGGGCGCCACGGTGGCGAGATGGTAACTACCTTGCCAGGTGTACAGAAGGTCGTGGGTTCGATCCCAACCCTGACGCCTGTATATTGGGAGTCTCTCTCCCCGTGGTCGCGTGGATTTTTCTCCGTGTCCTCAGGTTTTTCCCTCCACATTTAGAATCAACGTGCATTCATAGTATTTCGCTGCAATACATTTCCACGTGATAATCCATTTCATGGAGCTATCATTTGTGGCCAGGTCGCTCCTGTAAAAGACCCGTTTAGCTCAGTCGGCCTTACCTGGTTAAACAAACAAAATGTTTTAGTTCATAGCTTCGTTCGCCTTTAAAGTTGCTGGACTCCTCGGCAGTCCCCGTGCCCTGCCGCTCGAGTGAAAACGCGCGCCGTGCTCGGGTGTGTTGGTGTGTGAACGTGCGCACACGTGCAGGCAACATCCTGGGAGTGACACAAGACCCGCCCAAGCTGGTGCAGACGTTCCGGATCATGCGCCGCGCCGGTTACATCAACGAGTTCGTCTCCATCTCCACCAACCTCAACGACCGCTGTGTCTACATCTCGTCCGACGGCGGGCGCCTCTGCAGGTGCTCGCAACTGCATCTGTCATCATCGGGCGTTAACAAAAGCTCAACCTGACATACCCAATGCACGGTCTAACCCAAGAGAAACGAATTAAGAATCATGATGTTGGTCACAGAAGCCTTCGAAACGGTTGCGTTTGTAGAGTTTTTTATCTCTCCCGTGCCTTGTGTGTTCCTGTTTCTCCCTCTTCCGTCTTCATCCTGTCTAATTCTTCTTTTGCTCTCTGGCGTTCCCTCGTTCCCCCTCACCACTGAAGGCCGTACATCATCGTGAACAACAGGCAGCCCATGGTGACGAGCAAACACATCGAGGAGCTGTGCCAAGGCTGCCGGTGAGTGGGCGTCACGGGTCCTATAGTGCGGCTTGAGTTTGATGGGGTCCCTCTCGTGTACTGGGCGCACCGCGCGTGTTATATTCATAACGAGGTGGTTGTGTAGAATGCAAACGTGGTGTGTCGTAGGTGTGGTGAGGTGTGACGCGGTGTCGTATCGTGCGGCTTACGTTTGCTGTGGTGGGGTGCGTTGCAGGGTGCACCAGTTGCGTCGTGCAGTCGAACACTCGGTGTGTTGGCTGGAGATGAAGGAGGAGGCCTGCAATATGTCGATGGAAGCGCGTGACGTTGTTGTGGTTATAACGAGTTCTTTTATGTATCGAGTTCCAACTCGGTGTGACGTAGTCGTGATGAGGTGCGTCAATCATGGAGAGGCCTCAAACGTTGTGTTCTACAGTTGCCGTGTGGCCCATCTTTCAGCCATATCACTTTCCGCTTGACTTTGACTGAAAGCGTTTGCCTTTCTTCATGGGCACACGCAGTTTTAATGTCGAGGACATTTTCGTGCATATGTTGTCGTTGTGTTTTAAGTGTCAAGTTTACTCTTGTTTAACCAGGTGGGAGTTCAAAAGACCACACTAGTCTTCATCTGCAGGAGGGACCTGGGTCACCAATATAACAAAACAAAAAAAGTACAGCAAAGAAGCGACATTTTAATTGGATCAAAATAACTGTCTCGTGTGAGAAATCTAAATTAATGCACAAACATAAATCGCCATTAAATAACTTCCCTGTAGCTTGGGCAGATTATGTATAGACTGATCATAGTGTGTGTGTGTCGATACTGATGTACCTGTGTGTGTGCTGATGTGGCATGTGTGTAACTGTGTGTTTGATTAGTGGGGAGGGTAGTGTCGTGGTTAACGCACGACCGAGGTTCGATTCCCAACGTCGGTGACAAATATCTGAACCGGTACTGGGCCTCACCTTGGTCGACTCGGCCTTAAATGAGTACCTGATGCAGTGTGTGAACATCAGCACTGGGGAGACAAAGGTGATTGGGCGTGGTGGTGTTGGCCACCGACGCCCTTCGTGTGTCATGGCGGCCTTCGTGGGTGCTCGCGAACAGCACTTGCCCCAACAGTGTTAAACGCTGTACGAGTGGATCCTTGACAGTGTCTTAATAACAGCTTTGCCCCCTGCGCTTTATAGAGCTACACGGGAAAATCTGTCTCTACGCTCCCATTGGTTACAGGACATTTGAGGACTTCCTCCACGAGGGACTGGTCGAGTATCTGGACGTGAACGAGGAGAATGACTGCAACATCGCGCTCTATGAGCACATCATCAATCCGTAAGTGGGGGGGGGGGGGGGGCGGCACGTCGTCACCGTGCCGTGACTGCTTCATCGTTGTGTGTAGCCCGTGTGTATCGACCATGTGTCTACCATTTGTGTCTACCCTGTGGCAACGTTGGGTTGTGTCCGTGTTGCCCCGTGTCATCCTCAGTGCTCGTAAAGCACCTCCGATTAGCACGGTTGGCTACGTACGGTGCTCAACATGTTCAACATGCATACATACTTAATATATAGCCAGTATGTGATTTCCTTGCAACTGCGCTATGTTAATTTCATGCTGTTACCCGCGTGCTATTTATGCAGGCATGTGTCATCACTGTGTTTTCTCTGTGTCTGTCACAATGTCATCTCCAAGTCTTGAATAGCGCTCATGTTTATCTCCACGTGTTTTTGTAATCTAACGAAGTGCCGGGTTGTGCGTTGTTGTCCCCTTGTTCGTATCAGCTCTGCTGTCTCGTGCCATTCCGCCATTATCCCCGATGTCATTTGCGTGATCTCAAATTTGGTACCCCTCTTCCCATGCCATGCGTTCCCCTGTCACGCGCCTCCATCATACTGCGTAATTTCCCTTGTCAACGTGCTACAACCTTCCCTGCCGCCTGGATGTTGTCTCCGTGTCACCGTCGTTTCGTCCGCTTGTTGCGGTGTTCTCCGGCACTTCGCTCCGCGTTGCGTGTCACGTGTGTTATCTTCAGTGAGTCTTTCTTTTACGTTGCGAATGTAGCCCTCAATAAAATAGGCATCTTATTGTCACATTTGTGTCCCCATGTCATGTCTTGCCTCATTCCCTTGTTCCATCGTGCTGTCACGTGTCTCCACTGTCCCATTTGGCCGCCAACCCCCACCTCTCATTCCCACATAATCCACGCTGTTTCCTTGTTGACTATTTTCCATCGTCGCCATTGCTGTGGCATTCGGGAATGCGTTTGTCCGCACCTCGTTTCCGTGTCACGCCGCTGTTTTCTGCCCGCCTTGCGCCGTGTCTGCCGTCGTCCCCCCGCGCCGTATGTAACACTTCCCCGCGGGCGGCAGGAATACGACGCACCTGGAGATCGAGCCGTTCACGCTGCTGGGCGTGTGCGCGGGACTCGTGCCCTACCCCCACCACAACCAATCCCCCCGCAACACCTACCAGTGCGCCATGGGCAAGCAGGCCATGGGTGAGTGAGCGAGCGAGCGAGCATCCGCCCCAACGGGAAACCGATCCAACCAAAAGATTTACAGTGTTTAGGGGATAAACTGCTTCCAGATTCGGCACCACTTGCTTGTCGAGTTATGTAGGCCGGCTGGCACTAATTGTCACCCCAATCCTTAATGTTCTCTCTGCACGAATCTGGACACGTGATCGCTTTCTTCGTCATGCATCTCACGAGATCGGCTCCTCGTATCACCCTCCGTGTACTCCTGTGTCCGTGAGCCCATGAATCTGCGTCTCAGTGCAGCGTAAGTCCGTGACAGAGAATATATGTTCCCTGCCTACCCCCAAATATTGGTTGTTCCAGGAACATTCATTTGTTCCCCTCCTGAATATTTGGCATCATGATTAGTTACAAATCTAGCAACCTAAATTTGAGTTGTGGCCACGGCTAACATCAGTGAACCAGTCCCTGGGCCTACACCAACCTGCACTGACCGACATGGTGAAGTGTGGTCAAACAATTCAGGTGGCTGACACTTAATTCGGCAATGTATTGACGGTGGAGCTGTAAATTATTATTTATATTCTTTATCTCTTCTTAGTCTGTATGCATTGCAAAAACCTGTTTTACTTGTGCATCTTGTTGTAGCGGGCTGAATCGCACGCCGGTTGCATCGACGAGATCGATGCTAATCATCGCTGCAACCGACCTCCCCTACCCCCTCACCCCTGTTCCGCCAGGCACCATCGGCTACAACCAGCGCAACCGCATCGACACTCTCATGTACCTGCTGGCCTACCCGCAGCGGCCCATGGTGCAGACGCGCACCATCGAGCTCATCCAGTTCGACAAGCTGCCGGCGGGCCAGAACGCCACGTTGGCCGTCATGAGCTACAGCGGCTACGACATCGAGGATGCCCTCGTCCTCAACAAAGCCTCGCTCGACCGCGGTGCGGCTACGTCACGAGCGGGCGGCGGGCGGTGCGCGTCACCGGTTGACCCGCCGGTGTGAAGGGGGTTGGGGGGGGGCGGGATGTTTGCGTTAGGTGCTCGACATCAGCGCTTGCCCCCCAACAAAGTCTGTGTGATGAAGGCCGCTTGTGTTGTGGCCGAAACGTCGTGAGAATTTTATTGTGTTATTTTATTTTATCAATTTATTATTTTATTCTCATTCTACGTGACTTTACCGAAAGAACCAAAGAAAAAGTCTGTGTGGCTATAAAAGTTAAACAAATATTTAGGGATGCTGCATTGGCAGTGGTGCACAAAACCAAATAATGAAATACGCAAACACATAAGTTACGTGCTATGAGGAAGGGCCTTTGCCCGGTTATATATTATATATTTTTCCTTTAAGGCCACGGTGTTATTGGAGAATGCGTTGATTTTTGTATGGCTATGGAGGGAATCCTCTGTGTGTGCGATCTTCTCCACCGAAAATGGGTTATCTGATGCAATGTGAACAGCATCAATGCAAGAGTGACGCAGGCAGCTGTCCACAGGGGGCGGACCACTGCCCGCCTCCTTGCGCGCCCCGGCAGCTTTTAGACTCTCGACGGCACTTTCCCTGCTGCTCCGTGAGGCTGAACACCGGGGGATCTCTGTCCGTGTGCGCAGGCTTTGGCCGCTGCTTGGTGTACAAGAACGCCAAGTGCACGCTCAAGCGCTACACCAACCAGACCTTCGACCGCGTGATGGGGCCCATGCTCGACGCGGCAACACGCAAGCCCATCTGGCGGCACAAGGTGCTCGACTCTGATGGGATCTGCAGCCCAGGTCAGGCACGCATGCGACGCACGCGCGCGCGAGCACCGTGGAAATGTGGGTGTGCTGTAATACATTGCCAAAATTATATCTGTCTGTGTGTGTGTGTGTGTGCGCGTAAGTTTCCAACAACGAGCAGAGCGCCGGGTGGCTCAAACACAGGAAGTTGGCGCAGTGCCAGTCACTTCAAGTCAGGTCACCCATAGCACACCGCTCTGTTGCGTAACCTCCTCTTGCCAGGGAGGCTTTGACACTTCACATGGCCTCAAAGTGCATCGAGCCTAGCTCAGTTAGTTGGGAATGGTGACTGTTGTGTGTATGCGTGTTTGGTTTGCGGTAGCACCGCAGTGACTAGTGCACTTTGCACAAACCCAGCAAGCAAAGTTGAATTTTCAGCCTTGGCTAAAATCAGTGGGGAGTGATATCAGAACCGGTTCCAGTCAGTTAGGTTGACTCAGCCTTAAAATAGTACATAGTGCAGGTGTGTGAAGCATCAGCAGCATTCTTAGGTGCTCACTAACATCGCTTGCCCCAAACAGTCTATGCAGGGGCCAGTGTTTATATTTTTTTCGTGAGTGTGTGTGGTGTACCATGGAGCGGTAGTGTAGTGGTTAGCGCGCTGCGCTATGAACCCGGTGACTCAAGTTCAATTCCCGCTCAAGGCCAACACCAGTGATTATAATCTGAAGCGATCCTGGGCGTCCCCTAGGTTGACTCAGCCTCAATAGGTGCTCGCTAACAGCGCTTGCCCCAACCAGTCTGTTACGTCTGTACGGCGGGGGGGTGGGATGTTTGTCTTTGACCGGTGCTGGTGCAGGCGAGAGGGTGGAGAACAAGCAGGTGCTCGTGAACAAGTCGATGCCGTCGATGACGCAGACGCCAATCCAGGGCGCGAGCGCGCCCACACAAGTGCAGTACAAGGACGTGCCCATCACGTGCGTTGCCCGCACGAGCGCGAGATGCACGCGTGCGCTCGCGGCCACGTGCACACGTATACATGAGCCACCTCGCCCATCTCACGCACACCCGGGTGTACGGTTGCGACCATGTGTGCGAGCGCACGTGCGCTCGCACGCGTGTTTATTCACACCCATACACGCACACCAGTGTTAACAGCTGGTACCCCTGTGCAGTTACACGTGTGCACAAGGCGCACACGTACGCACGCTCGCACACATGCAGAGCTGCCACGATTGAAACGCTTCACTGTGTTTTGTGCCAAAAAGACCCCTGACGGAACAGGAAGTGGAAATTGTGATATTTAATTAGAGCGTCCATTCTTTGAACAGTTTAGAGTCACAATCCTGCCCCCCTTCTTTCTCTATTCTCATACTGTACGCGCGTGTTCACGTGTCCGCCTCTATATTTATCGCTGCGCGTGTCACTCTGCCGGTTTGCCATGAACGCACACATGTCCACTCGTTGGTGTCCATTCGCACCCATGCGTCTACATTGTCCCCCCGTGCATCTGCATCACAGTCTCGTGTCTGCTTGTGAGTGCCTCTTTGCCCGTGTGAATTTCACCATCCCACTTGTGGGCCTGCTTCTCTTATTGCTTACGTGGCCCTCTGTTTGCCGCCTTGTGTATCCATCTCTTCCGTGTCCATCTTCGCGTCCCATCCGCGCGTATCCTCGCTTCCGTTCTCACGTCGCAGGTACAAGGGGTCGACCGACTCGTACGTCGAGAAGGTGATGATCTCCTCCAACAACGAGGACGCCTTCCTCATCAAGATGCTTTTGCGGCAGACGAGGCGCCCGGAGATCGGAGACAAGTTCAGCAGCCGCCACGGGCAGAAGGGTGGGGGTCTCACAGTCCTCTTCACCACCGCGCCGACACCGTGACTGCGTGCCGTCGAGAGCAACTCCCCCCCCACCTCTCATTCACCCGATGCACGCCCAGCCACCGCACTTTCGATTAGCACGATTTGCTATGTGCGGTGTACGTGACTTTACCGACAACCAAAGAAAATGTGCGAGAGAAGTTGAACGTGCATCCATGTCCAGCCATCGCATGTCCGGCCACCGCATGTCCGCCGGCCCTTTCCGACCAGCGCACGCACGCAGCCGATGCCAACCACTGCGTGCACAGCTACAACAGCCCACCAAATGTCCAGGCCCTTTGTCGTCCACAATATGCACGGCCAAATGCATGCCCAGCCACCGCCAACCGCTATGTCCAAAGACCATTGCGTGCTCAGTGCCTGCTAACCATTGCACACGCAGCCAACGCATGCACAGCCCTCGCACGTTGGGCCTTCTTTAACCAGCGTATGCACAGGCAGTATATTCTTGTCTTTTCAACCGTTGCGTGCACAGCCAAGGCATGCCCAGCCAGGGCCGGCCAGCTAATGCTCATGTCGACGCATGCTCGGCACTCGCCAACCGCTGCATGCGCAGTCAACGCGTGCACGGCTACCACATTGTCAATCCCTCGCCACCAAACCCAGCCCTCTCCCTGCACTGTACATGCACACTGAGAAACCGGCGGAGGGACACGTGGGTCAGAGGAAAGACAGGCTTGAGCAGGACGCGTCACGAGGAGGGGTGATGGTCAATGGTCTCGGCTAATGACGCGAGTGGCAGCCAAAGGAAGGAACATGATCCGAGAGGTGGGGCAACTGTGGAGATGGAACAATGAAATCGTCTCGTGCGTGGGACCGAGGTGGAATATTGCATCGCGGGGCTGTAGATATGGCGACCGTGTGGGGAGGCCTTCAGCCAGTAGTGGATGGATCCTGGCTGTTGACGATGATCACTGTGTGTGTGCAGGCGTGTGTGGACTCATCGCCTCCCAAGAGGACGTCCCGTTCTGTGACTCGGGCATCTGCCCCGACATCATCATGAACCCCCACGGCTTCCCCTCTCGCATGACGGTAGCGTGTTCCGTCTCGTTATCGTGTTACACGTGTCGGTAGGGATAATTTTGAAAAGTCACCCAGCTCTGATTATAGGTTAGATGCCGGGTTTCAGTAGTGATGTCAGTAACGCAGTGTACACAGTAGCATCACGATGTGACTGCAGGGGGGCAATTTTGGCAGCAGAGGGCAGTGCAGCCAAATCCATTGCTGTGCCCGATGACGCTCCAGCGTCTTTGCACCCCTTCATCGTTAACTGAATCGGTGGCAGTTATCTGTACCTGTCCTGGCCCACCTTTTGATCGACTCGGCCTTAAGTTAGTACTTGGTGCGGCGTGTGCCCATCAGCACTGGCCACACTATCCCCTGGTGTGCTGTTCTGGCCTTAATAGGTGCGCGCGAACAGCACTTGTCCCAACAGTCTGTTAAAGCACACACGGAGGTGTCTTTGTCGTTATGTAAATGCTTGTGTACGTAACGTGTACTCACCATAGTTGTACGCGCATCTGTGCGAGTTCACGCATACGTGTGCGTATGTGCGCGCGCATTTTGTAAAGATGCGTTTTTGTCCGTACGCATGCGCGCTTGTGGTTGTAACCGTACGGCCGGCTCTGTATGTTGCGTGCTTGTGTATCTGCATATCCGTGCGTGCATATACGTGCTGCAGGTCGGGAAGCTGATGGAGCTGCTGGCCGGCAAGGCGGGCGTTCTCGACGGACGCTTCCACTATGGCACAGCGTTCGGGGGCAGCCGCGTGCGCGACGTTTGCGAGGACCTGATCCGACACGGCTACAACTACCAGGGCAAGGACTTCGTCACGTCCGGCATCACGGGGTACTACGCCGTGCCGGCAATCGCGAGAACATACGGGGCAGTGTGCACGCGGGCAAACGCGCACACGCACGCACAAACTAATGAACGGACTAATGAGTGAACGATTGAACGCGTGCGCACGCACGCAACCAACCATCAAATGACCCACGCGTACACGGACAGGGAAGCACCTGACCACCCACGCTCGCCCGTTCACAGCCACACCTGGAAAGGCCACGCACTAGGCATGTAACGACACATCATTCCACCGATTCCGGTTTTATTTTTACGTTTTACGGCAATAACAAATCATTGCCAGTGACAGGTAAACAAAATGCAAGATTGGCATCGCGTGTGCAACGCGATGCAAACTGCGCATGGCACTTCCCAAACCGACATGTCGTACGTAGGTTACGTGACATTGACCGAGCCCCCACGTGCTATCGAATCCAAATCTTAGCAAACCGCGTGCTGTCCTTCACCTCCACGTTCCCCGCCCCCCCCCCCCCGTCTCCCTCTGTGTGCCCGCTGTCTACGTTTGGCCGCTCGCCCCCCGCCGCAGGGAGCCGCTGGAAGCGTACATCTACATCGGGCCCGTCTACTACCAAAAGCTGAAGCACATGGTCCTGGATAAGATGCATGCACGAGCACGAGGACCAAGGGCCGTGCTTACCAGGTAGCCCGCGATAGGCGGAGGGGTCCACTGCGCACCGCACGTTCGACCCTGTGAGATGATCACCACACAGGGGAGGTGTGGCCTGCCTCCTACATAAGCGGGGAGGGGGGGGGGGGGTGAGGAGAGGGGCCGGTTACGGAGTCGTCGAATTATTACTGTGGTGAAGTGCAGTCATCGCTCGCAAGCACGTTGCGTTGTACAGCATGGATCTCGAGGTGTGTCAAGGAGAGACTCATTGGATGCCCTCCGCTTGTTGTCATATTTCACGGCTTCGTGACACAACAATCCCCTCGGCTCCTGTCGTTGTGACTCTCTGACCCGCCCCGACTGGACATCTGTGCAAAAAAGAGCTTCATCGCTCGTTGGTGTCTGTATACGAGTGTCATTATCCATACGTTAGTCTCTTGGTCTCTGTGAGTCAGTGGGTCTCTATGACCATGGACTTCAAAGGGGCGAGTCCACGGTTCATCTTAAACACTGCGAACTTGAAGTTGATCCGGGAGTGGATTTAGGAGCCAGTGGATGGATCGGAGTGCTGGCGCCACGTGGTCACTTTGACGGGCGCGGAGTCCGGCAGGGGCTGCTCGGGATCGCGTCGCCTGCCGTTGCCTTGTGTTTCCCCGCGCCATCCTCGTGCGCGCGACAGGCAGCCCACGGAGGGGCGGTCTCGCGACGGGGGCCTGCGACTGGGCGAGATGGAGCGCGACTGCCTGATTGGCTACGGCGCCAGCATGCTGCTGCTGGAGCGGCTCATGATCTCCAGCGACTCCTTCCAAGTCGACGTGTGCGGCACCTGCGGGCTCATGGCGTACTCGGGCTGGTGAGCGTGCCGTGCATGCACGCACGCGCGTGCGTGTGTGCATGTGTGCGTGCGTGCAGGCGGTTTAATGCTTCACCACGTGGGAGACGGAAGTCGGCCGGGCGTGGTGCTGGCAACCCACCCACTTTGTGTGTCGCGCCGGTGTTCATAAGTTCTCGCTAACAGCACTTGCCCCAAAAGTCTCTTGAGGCTATATGGGGTGGGGGGGGGGTCTCTGTCTTATGCTCACTCTCGCTCCGCAGGTGCCACTACTGCCGTTCGTCGAGGCAGGTGTCGTCCCTGCGCATCCCGTACGCGTGCAAGCTGCTCTTCCAGGAGCTGCAGTCCATGAACATCATCCCTCGCCTCAAGCTGGCCAAGTATAACGAATGAGACCGAGACCTAAGGGGTCTGTGCTTGGGGCCAAACTCATCACTGCAAAAGCGCCCGTTACACCTTTCCCACGGTCCTTTGCAGAATCATGCTGTTTTGTACCGGGGTCCCCCAGGCCCCCACTCACCTACACAGAATCAGAATCTTTATTTATACTGGAGGAATCCGTTGAGCTATGAAGCTCTTTTTCCCAGATGTCCAGTATTTTTTTCACAGGTGTTCACTGGGTCCTCACTCCCTACACAGATGTAACATCAGAGTTTAATTTGCTTGTAATTTGCATATATTGTAAATAGTGTATTGTTACACGCCGAGGAAGAGAATCGAGTTTAATGAATGTTAAACTTCTTTCGCACCATACTTAGCCAACCGTGCTAATCGGGAGGTGCGGGGGAAGGACAACAAATTAAACGCAACAACAGGCGGTTCTAAAGAAAATTAGCGGTTCTAAAGAAAGAGTCGTTACGTGCCTACAGCGGAGATCAGTCGGGAGCAGACGATCAGGGAGGGCACAATTTCCCCTCCCTCTCCGTAGCGCAGACCCCCGGGGCCCTTCACTACGTGGGCCCCGGTGCAGTTGCACTGCCCGTGCACTTCATGTAGCTCCGCCCACTGCCTTGCAGGTAGCCAGCTGCTCTGCATACCTCTCGTTCACTCTTGTTGTAGCCAAGGTCCATTCCACCACGAGGTGGCCACGGCAGGACAGCCCAAGTCGATGTAATTGCCCGTCGCTGTGGGTTGGAACCCTGCTCGAAATCGGACGGCTGCGAGTCCCACATTCCTAAACAGGGGTCACCTCGGCCAGACACTTGGGGGGGGTGGTCTATTAAAATAAGTACCGCTTTACACGAGGCCCTTTGGAGAGACTGTGACCCTGTCATTGATGTGGAATTTCTACCACTGGCTCAGGGCTGTAAATAGCGAGATGGGCATTATCCAACGCATATTTGAGCAAGCAGACACTTTTTGAACTCGATGGGCTGTCATCTCGTGAGTGCGGAGTGACCTGGATTCGCTGAATCAACGTCGAAAAAGAATGAATAGGCAAAATTATTCGAAATCAAGTTTGCTGCCTGTTCATGTGTACATACGAATAAAACACAGCGCTCGCCTTTATATGTGACTCTTCAAATGTGTGCATGTGCATGGCACGAAAACGAAAACAATCTGTGTATCGCTCTGGGTTCATCCCTGGATGGGTTGCATGGGAACATTGCAGACAGTGTTAAAGTCTGCAATAGTCGTGTCCACGTACCCATTTATCAAATTCAGATGCAGGTTTTGTCCGGCGATAAAAATGGAATCAACTGGGCACATCATCGCCAGAGATGCAGGGGTGGATGCAGGGGCTTCCATTTCAGCCGGGTCTACCCGGGTCAGCCATCCGAGAAAAAAATCTGGGCTCAGCACACCATATCCATGCTATGGCCGTGGCGGCTACTAGTCACATGCCTATTCCAATATAGAAGCAACCCGGAAAATATTTGGTGGGAAGTCCCGGGTGGATGTGAATGTAGGGCATGAGGACTCGAAGGTAGTGGGGGCATTTCAACAGCCTCGTATCAGCAGTGTCGGCACTGGCCCGTGGAGAAGGCTTGCACAGTGAAACTCTGGGTCTCTACTATCCGTGCTTCCGATTACTCATGTTCCTGTACAGGATCCCCACACACCTTCCGATTCATGCCGCTGATTTGCTATTATAAGAGCCTTTGTAGCGATGAGAGGAAGTGACCCATCTTCATTATCCGTGATTTCCTGCTGTGATACATGGATCAGAAATGTGGACACGGACAAAGGAAATGTAACAAACGCTAAAAAGTGTGCAAAGAAGCCCACAGCTGTTAGCTTCTTTTTTTAGAAGCTACCTGGCCACACGATAGCTAAATTTATAGCAGCCAAATCATCTAAATAATGGGCTTTGGAGGCCATCTAGCAATGGATCGATAATGGTTGGTGGTATTTGTGTTTTAGCTCTAGCTTACGTTTCAGATATAAGGAGTAAAGTTTGTGGAAAATCATGGAAATGGATCTGCCCATAGCCACCCCCTCCTCCTCGACCTCCATATCAAGTCGGTTGAGATGATTTTTGATGTAAATGAAAATGCCCATTGGCCAGACTCCGGCAAGGCAATAAGGAAGCACACCGATCGCAACACGGGGAAAACAATGCCATGGTGTCAGTGGGTAAGGGATATGGTGCAAGGGGCTTGATACAATTACCAGTACACCAACTACGCATTTCTCTCCGGTCAGTAAGCCTTTGGCAAGGCCATGTGTCCTCGCAGTAAACCTAGCTTGGCACAGGGCCATGGAAACGTCAGCACCACTTAGTGATGAATGTCAGCTTATGGCGCTGCGCTTGGCTGTGGTGTGTGTGTGTGCGAACTAAAATCCACGTCTCTGTGTGAGTCTGTACGTGCCCCGTGTGCGCGTCCATCTCTTATCTGCGCTGTGCACACCTGCGTGTGTGTTTGCACGCGTGCATGACTCTGCATGTTCGTGTGGGTGGGGGGTGTATTATTGTGCATACTTGTGTTTTTGTGTGGGTTTTTTGTTGTCCGTCCATATGGGTATACGTGTGTGTTTTCACGCGTGTGTTATCTTCTCTGACCTGGTGTGGTGTGTCAACATCGGCGATGGGGAGACAAAGGCAACCAGGGCATGTTGCTGGCCGCACCGACCCCCCTTGTTCACAGTGCAGGCTTTTAAAGAGGTGATTACGAACAACGCTTGCCCCAACAGTCACTTAACGGCTGTAGGGCAGACTGCTTGTCTTCTGTTGTCGTCAGGAGCAGCAACGGCGTGAATATCGTTTGCTGGCATCTTCATCATTGGCCGCTTATCACCGGGAAATCGCAGATAATGGAAATAATTTTAGTGCCCACCACAATAGCTTCCGGTGTCTAGTCTGATTAGAGAAAATTTGTGGATGTTCTGAGGAAAATAACAGCCGCCGTGACTTCTGATTGGCTCTTCCTATCCGTGTTGTTGAAATTGATAATTGATGAACGGACAATTTGGTTGTGGAAAAGAGTGCTGCCATGACAACAACTACCACAACCACCGCATCGCAGTCACCGCCAACATATCACCACCAACCACACCACCACTTTTACTACCACCATCCGAAACCACCGCCCCCAACATCACATTGTGACCCCTATGATGTGTACTCAACATCAGAGGTTCACATCTCACAAGTGTCTCAACAGGGGGCACAGGTCGTGAGATTATGGCAGGAAGGATTAGTTGGAGAGATGCCTGGCGTTTCTCCCAGAGCTGCCTACGTATCTGGAGTAGGAAGTACACGTTTGTAAAACAAGTGTCTGAAAAGTGATGAATGAATAGATGGAATTTTGGATGGCCCTGTATTGATAACAAACTTTTCTCTCTTAACTTTGCACATTAGGGCACATAGGCATTCTAATATGTGCCATCTATCCTTCTATGCATAGGTGCTGGCCGCGGATAACAGAAGTCACAATACCTTGCTGATTGAACCGCAATCACCTTGCTAATCTCGTCATGGAACATAAACCACCACGCGAACTGGGGTCATCCTCGCGGGGGCTTTTGGCTGCTGGCCATCAAACAAAGACGGTCACCGCAATGCGCGCTTGCAGATGCACTTCTGCGGCCGTCTGGAACGCTCTTCCGATATTAGCAAGCCACTGGAGCTGTGCGCTTTTAAATCATCCAGATTGTAAACTCATTTCTTCAGAAGCGCTTGTTGTGTTTAGTTTGTTGTCCTTCCCCCGCACCTCCGATTAGCACGGTTGGCTACGCACGGTGGGAAATAAGTTCAACATACGTACATACACATAGGGTCTCGCACAAGGAAAGCTCCGCTGCTTGAAATTTGTGGTGAGTGGGGAGGTGGCTTCACCCCCAACCCCCCACATTACCCACCCACATTACCCACCCACATTACCCACCCACAACGCAATCCGCCATTGGCTCGGCGTGTGCGTGAACGTAGAACAGCATTGGGTGCTCGCCGATGGACGGACGAGGCACGTGCAGCTGGGGCCAGAATTGGAGGAATGTTAAGTGGAACGTGCAGGACGCGCGGTGGACGTGCACGGGGGCACGGGCTCCAGTGGGGGAGGGGGGAACATTTATCAGTGAACGATCCAACAGCGCCCCCACTCTCCCCCCCCCTTCCCCCCCCCCCCGATCAGACGACCTTGTCGCGGGACATTGAGCAGCGGGGGTCTCGAGGCCCCCTCGGAACATTAGGGTGCCTGATGTCCCCATTGAGGTGCAAGCACCTTGTTTCCCTGTCGCTCGCTTGCTGCTGCTTACTGCTTCTGTGTCCAGTCAATATACACCTGGGTCTTTTGCTCGAGCCAAGGATACAACGAGCGGCTTCTACGACTGCTCCTCCTGTACTTGATTTGCAAAGGGGTCACTCGCAACAGTCCGTGCTTCCGAGGCCAATAAGCCCGTGTCTCACACTCACGACACTCGAGTTTAAATGATTGGGTAATATTCTTGAAATTCCCATGACCGGGTCCAATCTCGCCCGGAGTTCGATGGCTGATTATTTCCCACGAAGTGGTCCTTGTTATATACACCCTGGAATGATAACTGAGTCGACGCCTTTACCTTATGTAGTTTTGTATTCACCAGTGTTACTTTCCTGGGTAAATAGGTGAATTATTTTTTATTAGGTTGGCATCGGCAGTATTCGTCAACAAATGAGCCAAACTATGGCATATGCCATTAAAAAAAAACCTTTACGTTAAAATTACTTCTGCAACTGAATTTGGTTACATTCCAGTTCCGCAGATAAAAAAAAATATGGGTCCTAGAGTCACGCGACGAACATTATTCTCAGTGGCGGGGCTGGGGAATTGCTGTTCCCTGCTCTGCTACGTAGACCAGAGGTCACTTGGAGGATACCTCAGCAGATGTAGCTCTGTGATATTCACTTGTATGGTTCATACTCTCACAAAGTGGTTCTTAACCTTTATTGCAGCCTTGCAACCCCTTTGGTTTTGAATAGTAAAAAATGCATAATGTTAATAAATACAGTGGGGTTTGATGAAACAAAGTAGTTGTATACTCTTTAGTTCTATTCGGTAAAGTCACGTAGGTAAAAATAAAATAATAAAAATCACCACGTTTCGGCCACAACATAACAAAAATCACGACGTTTCGGCCACTTGTGTTGTGGCCGAAACGTCGTGATTTTTGTTATTTTATTTTTACCTACGTAACTTTACCGAATAGAACCAAAGAGTATGGATCCTTGCAGTCACGAAAGCTTCAAATCTAGAAAAGTAGTTGTACTTTACGTGCCCGTCCTTAATTTGTATTTCAATTATTTACCTTGTAAAACATGCTGGCATGTCTCGCACCCCTAGAAAGGGCATCTCGCACTCCAAAGGGACGCGTGCACGCCAGATTAAGAAGACTTACTCTGCTCTAACACGAAGGCATACCACTGCTTGTTTCCATGCCATCGGCATATGGGAACAATTTTGAAACTGGGAGGGCAATAATAAGGGGAGAGAGTTTGCGTGAAGACTCTTGAGAAGGCAGAATATAAATATGTTGCCCTAACCACTTGGCTCATACAACAGTTGGGCAGGCAGCTGCCCTTGCCTCAAAGGTTCCCAGGCCCATGTGATATGTAAGGAAGTTCTAAATGGCGTCCCTCTTCGTGTGTGCTTTGTATGACTGACGTAATAACCCCCCCCGCCACGCATCCCCTCGTGCCACGTGGCAGTAATTGATGTCAACATATGTTGAATTGAGGAGGTTTATAATGAACACGCTGGCATGGAATAAGCCTGGCATCGACAAGGCTGCATTGCGTAGGGAATGTTTTATGTTTGTTTGTTTGTTTTTAAAACGGGAATGGCATTTCCACACAAGGAGGAATTTAACCGCAATGACTTTCACCCTAAATATTGCTGGGGTGGTTTTCTCTTTGTCTTCTCACAATGGAAAAGCACCAAGGATAATTATATCCCAGTGGTTGTTATCAGCGTCTAAGCAAAGTGAAGTACAGGGTGGCCTGGAAAGTTAATGCCGAGAAGATAACAATAACACTGAATGTGTATCTGTCTTGGTGAATTAAATTTCTGGGCTACCCTTTACGTTAAACGGTGTTGCATTTT